AGACAACGCCCCGCGAGGCCGGCGCTGCCCCCCACACTTACTCGTCGCCGTCGGGGCACTCGCCGCTGGACTCGTCGTACTTGGAGCAGTACACGTCCGGGCTGTAGTTGAACGTGCCGTCGCGCCTGCGGAGCGGTCTGCGCCGACGCTGATTTAGGAAATGCCAATGGAAACAGGTGAATGGCCTGTGCTGGGTGCACTTGTGCTGCACAAACAGGGCGCACTGCTCTGTCCTAAACTCCTTTAGATACCTAAAAAGACAAACAGCGTTGCGGATCGCTTCCGCTGCCACCGCCGCCGGCGGGCGGCCCTGGGAACTCGTGGGCGGGGACCCGACCCCGCGGGCCCGGGGCGCCCCGACCCCAGGTGCGACCCCCCCCACTCCGAGTCCAGATAGCCACAGACCGCGTTCCCCTCCCCACCTTCAGCCTAGGCGCATTCCTCGGATCCCAGGCATGGTTCACCCATCCCTGGCACGGCCCCCGACCCCAGGCACAGCCCCCATCCGGGACCCCAGGCGTGACCCCTCACTCCCAGTCCAGACGGCAGACCCTCATCCTCCAGCCCAGGCGCGTTCTTCGGATCCCAGGCACGGCCCCCGACCCCAAGAGCCACCCCCAGAGCGCACACGCGGCCCCCCACCCCAGGCGCAGCACCCCAATCCCCGACCCCAGGCGCGACTTCTCATTCCGACTCCAGACGGCCCAAGACGCCCCCCTTCCCAGCCCAAGCGCGTTTCCCCGACCCCAGATGCGATCCCTCAGACCCCATGCGCAGCTCACCCATCCCGACCACAGACGCGACCTCTGACTTCAGGTGCGACCCCGCGACCCCGGGCGCGCCCCAGCCCCCAAGCCCAGGTGCCATCCCCGACCCCAGGCGGAGGCAGCCCAAGTCCAGATGGCCGCCCTCCCCCGGCGCCCAGGCGCGGAAACCCCATCCTCAACCCTAGGCGCATTCTCCGCGGCGCCCGACCCCAGGCGCTGTTCCCCGACCCCCAAGCAGAGGCGCGTGGACCCCCGACCCCCGGCGCGTTCCCCAGCCCCCAAACCCAGGTGCCACCCCAAGACTCTGGGCGCCGCCTCCCGACCTCAGGCGGCGGCAGCCGGAGTCGGATGGTGGTCCACCCGCCCAGAGACCAGGCGCGGCGCCGGGCAGGGGGCGGCCGCGGCGGGGGCGGGGGCAGCGACGGGCCCCAGGCCGCACCCGGCGGCGGCACCCAGGCCCAGGGGCGCAGGGGCGCGGGCGCGCGGGCCGGGGCGCGCGGGGCCGCCCTCCGCTCCGCTCCCGCCCCCGCCGCGGCCGCCCCGGCACTGACCTGTAGTGGGTCGGCTTCTCCGTCTGCGGGGGGGACCCGCTCAGCGCCGCCGCCGCGGCTTTCGAAACCGACGGCATTTTCAGTCAAAACAATGCAGCGCGCATGCGCCGCGCGGGCCCGCCCCCGCCCCTCCGGATCTCCCCCGCGCCGAGCCCACCCGCGCCCCCCGGCCGGCCGGCCACGCCCACCCGCCACGCCCAGGCCACACCCCCAGCGGGCGCCTCGCGGGTGGGGGGGCGGCCCGGCGCGCAGCAGCGGCCAGCACCTGGGGGAGACCCGCGCGGACCCCCGACTCCGCCGCGCGACGGGCCGCAGCGCCCCGGCCCCGCCAGGGACACACCCCGCGCGCGCCGCCGCTGCCAGTCCCGCATCTCCCGTGCACAGCATCGCCCCACCCCCGCGGGCTTCCCGAGGTCCACACCCCATCCTGCGCACAGAGGGCCTCGGGCCCCGGTCCCCTACCCCCACTGCTGCCTTCACCCCTCCACTCCTGGCCCGCGCACTCTGCACACCCTGACAGCGACCCCAAGCTGGGCCCCAGGAGCAGCTGGAGCCGACAGGTCCCCTGTGTCGAGACAGCGTGCACGGGCTGCTCACGCTCACGCTTCACTCATTCCTCCACTCTGACCCCGGGGCTGGGCGCTGAGGCCGAAAAGAATGGATCCAATTGCTCCGAGTTGGGAGTGGGAGACATGGGGGTAGATGGGGCGCGGCTCTTTCATGGGTCGGGAGTTTCTTTTAGGGAGTGTGAATATGTCCTAAAATTAGATTGTGGTGATTGTTGCCCCCTGTGAATATACGAAACATTTTTTAATTGCACACTTTAAATGGGTGAATTGAATAATACGTAAACTATATATCAATAAAGTTTATTTTTGGAAAAGAATCTGAGGCTCCCACTCAAGGAGGAGACACCCCCCACACACTCGTCACCAACAGGGTGGCAGGGATGCACAGTGAGAATTCTGAGAAGCAGGCGGCAGCAGCCAGGGCCCCGGCCCAGCTGGCCGACAGGAGGAGACAGGGTGTGCATATCAGGAGGGAGAACCCAGGGCCAGAGTACATTATTTTGTAAACTGGCATAAGACACTTTTTTTTTTTAAGTGTTAAACCTCTCTAGTAATCCAAAAATTGCAAATGAAAACATGGAGTGGGCAGACTTTTTTTTTTATTCTGAACAGCAACCACAACACCGGTGACCTTCAGCATGACGAGCCCTTGAAGAAGTGTGGCTGGGGGGGCAAACCAGTACTCACCTTTATGGAAAATAATTTGTTCCATTTCTAGGAACTCCAACCTAAAAAAGAATCAGATTCAGACAAAGATTTATGTACAAAGATGATTATCAGAGTTATTTAGCAAAACTTGAGAATACCTAGCAGCCCCCAGTCAGGAAACGGTTCCAATCTGAGTGCAATGCCGTGACTTGATGACAAAGCTTCCTGAGAACTGTTAGTGACATGAAAAATGCTCCTATTGAGGTGAAAAACAAAGCAAGACCTGACCGTTCATACATTTGTTCCCAAGCATGTTATTTTTTGAAATAGGAGTAATACAGTAAAATAAAAGCTATCACTTGCTGGTGGGATGAATGATGATCTTCATATGTTCGGATTTTTCTAATGAATTATTCCCTCTACAAATATTACCTTTAAACCTGGAAATTAAAATGGCAAGAAATCAACTTGACATTTTCGAAGAAAATCAAGCAGAAGGGAGCAGGAGAGGACCGGGTCCATGACTTCTTCTGAAGAGGAATAAACAGATCTTGAAGACTGCCGGCATGCGAGGAATGAGGAATGAAGAAGTCTGAGATATGCCCACGTCCCTAGCTAGGAGGGATACAGAACAAAGAAAGAGGTTTGGGGAGAGAGGAATTCCGTTTGGGACCTAAGAAGTCTGAGGGACCTGTGACGCACATTAGAGATGTATAGAGAGCCGCCCTGAGCTCAGAAAAGGGGAGGCTCAAGATGAAGAACTTTGGGGATCTTCGCCGTAGAGGTGGGAGTAAAGATGCCTAATGTTCCTTCTCACCCAAGAGGGATCTTCGTTGAAGAGATCAAAGAGAACTGGAACAGGCTGTAAAGACCAAGTGTCATTTTTCATGCTTTGGAAGAATATTCTTAAAAGGCTGGGGTGGTCCCCAGACATATGAAATAGCACCAGCGTTCTCACTGTGAATTTAGAAGTGCTTTACTTTTTGGGGGGGATGCACAGCACTGCCAGCACCTTTCAACCCTGCTCAGCAGCTTAGAAGATGCGAGACCAGTTAACCTCCTCTTCCTTGAATTTTTTCTTAAACAATTTTCTCCTCCTTCTGCCCAACAATTTCTCGTGTCCCGAGTCACTGCAGCTGCTCTGGTCTAGCACGCCCACCCTGGTCCGTGCCCTCTCCAGTCCTTCATGGGTGCTTATCTGCGGAGTCTGTGCCAAGCACCCTGGGAAAAAGAAAAGCTACAGCCCAGTGGGGGAAATGAGACAAGCATACCAAGAAAACAGTTAATAATAAAAGGATTTAAATAACAGTTCACCTATCCACCTGCTCTGCTGCCACCCCTGAAAAGCCCAGGTGTGGGAGGGTCTGCCCACACTGTCACCTGCTGGCCTTGGGTCTGTCTTTTGCTCCTGATAAAGCCCATCCGTGTCTGGGGCATGAACTCTGGAACTGGAAAAGCCCTCACCGACAGCCACCGTGGAGGCACTCATACTGCTGCCTGTGGTATGAAGTGTCATCAACAACAATACAGCCCCCCTTGTGTTTCTGAAAGACCCTAAGTCTAGATACCCCCGAGAACCATCTGGCAAAGTAAACAATGCAGTGTTCACAGTGGTGCAGGATTACTGGCGTTTCTGATTCTCTTCTTTTTGGTTATTACAATGTCTAACTATTCCAGATAAATCCTATTGCTTCTGTCATGAGAATTACTTCTAATTAGAACAAAAATTCTTCTCCTTAGTTCTTCTTTGTTCCTGCAGGAGCCAGTGAGGGCAAAGTAAGGGTTCAAGTTTGAATGACTGTTGCTCAAACAAAATAGCTCACAGTCAAACAGGTCACAAGCAAGCCAGGCCAGAGACACGATGCCTCAGTTCTTTGTTCCTGCTGGCACTGACAATGCAGGCCGAGCCATGACTAGGTCCATCTTTGCAAACCTTGGTCTCTCCATCTTTAAAAAACGAACAGCCTAGTGCCAGCCCCAGCTCCCTGACAGGTGCAATTTACCAGGGTGTGTCTGACACTTAGAGCACTTCAGGGAGAGGCCTTGTGAGAAGCCAGTGTCCTGGCATACAGCCAGCCGTCCTCAAACATCTGAGTGAGAGAAACTGCCAGTTAACTTCGCCACCACAAACCGGCAGAGATCAAACCTTCCCCTAGAAGCTTAAGTAAATAAAATCTTCCCTTTGTGCATCTTGTATTTAATTCAGAATTAAGCAGGTTTGCTGTTAAGTAGTACCTAAAAGACATATCCTTTAGTACCTAAAATATTGCCTGTAATTTGTCGAAAGAAATACTCATCCGTTTTATTCTACTCGGAAAGTTGTTGCCTTGCTAAAAATAAGTTTGCAGAGAGCTGCGGAAGGTCATCATTTCTGGTGTCCTTTGATAACGTATTCCACGATTTACATTTAAGTTTCTTCCCTCAGTTCCCACTCTGGGAGAAAAAGAAAAACAAAGAAATTGAAAAAGGATTAAAAGGCTCCCTTTCTTTTTAATGAGATGCAAAGAAGGGGGGATTGGCTTAATTCCACATGATCAAATTAAAATTTATTGTTGTCAGTTTGTAAAACTAACATCAATTTATACACACCACAGTACATCATAAAATAAAAAGTTTAACTCTTCTACGAGTTACTCTGTCTCAGAAAGCAAACGACCCGCAAACTGGATTACAAGTGTCACCAGAATTGCTCCGGAATATGACAACCGTTGTACAAAGACGGCACAAATCCAAGAGCACACGCGGCAACCAGAACCTTCCCTATGGCTCTGCAAAGGCTTTTGGACGCATTCGATGGGCATCAAGTATCAGGCGGGGAGCCGGTTCCGACCTGCTGAAACTCCGCTCCACCTTCACCGGGTCCGCACGGCCAGGTGCGCCATCCCGTCCTTCAGGCTGGGGACGCCAAAACCGGGACAGAAACGGGCTAACGCGGCATCATGGCCCGAGGGTGGCCTGCTTGTTCCCTCGCTGCCGGCCCCACGGGCAGCCCGTCAAGTTCTCGCCCCCGAGGCAGCCGCGGCTCCAGCCTGCTCAGCACGGTCGCCCGGCTCCGGCGCCTCCTCTTCCAACACCCGTCTCAACCAGCGGTCCGCGGTGGTCTCCTCCCTAAAGAAGCACCAGATGACCAGCACCATGAGGGACAGGCTGAAGGGCAGCACCCTCCTCCAGGGCCGCTGCTGCTCCTTTCCCAGGGAATGCTCCACCGTCCAGCGGGACGGGTTGGCTGTGCTGGAGGAAAACTGAATGGGGCGGTTAGGGTCGTCCTCTTCCTCGCTCTCAGCCGCGGGCGCCCGAGCCCGGCCCCCGGGCGGCGGATGCAGGCTTCGGGAAGGCCAGCGCGCGAGCCTCAGCGCTCGGACGGCCCTGGAAGACAGGGAGAGTGAGCGCGCCCACCCGCCGCGCCCGCCCTCCGCCCCGCCGAGCCCGCGCGGAGCTCACCCGGCCGCCGGCGCCCGCAGGACGCGGCTCATCGCGACCCCGGCTCCACGCTCGGCGCCGCGGCGCGCCGCTCGCGTCACTTCCGTCGCGCGCGCGAAACCGGAAACCGGACGCTGTCCCAGGCCTCCGCTCACGACTACAGAACGTGGGCCCAGTCGCGCAGCGGAAATGACGCGCCTTCTCCGGCGGCCTCTTCCGTCGCAGGTGCGGTCCCGGGAGAGCCGCCGAGGCATGGCGGGAAGTGTAGTTCTCCGCCGGCTCCAACAAGCAGCCGGTCCCTGGGCTGCGGCGCCGGGATTGGGGCCGGCACGGAGGCGCGGGGCGGGGTGGGGCGTGGTCCTCGCGAACTTGGAGCGGGTCTCCTCCGCCGGCCAGGCTCGCCCGAGATCGGCGCTTCGGCCCCCGCCGCGCACCCTTCCCGCCGTGCCGGCGCGGGTCCTGGACGCCTCCTCCCGCGGCCTGCGACGGCGCCTGGCTCTCTTCATAGGACTCCAGCCACAGCAATGGTCCTCTCCATTAGTGTCTCCACTAGGAGGGGGCCTCGAGCACAGAGCCTACCCGCCGGTCCTCCCCCCCGCGCCCGGGGCACCCGGCGTCCAGCACCCGTCCCCACCTGCGTCCTGGGCCTTCTGCTGCCCCGCGCCGTGCAAGAGGGGCCCCGTCTACACCCGGAGCCGCTCGGCCGGGATGGGCAAACTGCTCGGCAAGACAGGCTTGCTCAGCCCCGGGGCCGCGACCCCTCACCCAGCGCAGCAGGGCCCGCCAGCAGCTCTCTCGGAGGCCGTCCCACCCCCGACACATCCCCCTCCCCAGGCCGGCGGATTCCCATGTGCGCGGCCCAGCCCGCCGTCCTCTCTGTGGCTGAGGCTGCCCCGTGCTCCTGGGGGCCTTCCCGTCCCTCCACCTTCAGGAGTCAGACTGGGAGGTGTCCCTCAGGCTGTCCCGGAGCTCCCGGCTCTGCCCGGTTCCCCAGTCGTCTTCATAGGTCAGCTGCTGGAGCCTCCGCCCTCAAGGCAAACTGGCCCTGGCTCTGCCGAGTCCTCCTGTCTGAAGGCCACATAGGGGCATCCAGGCATCCCCACGGACTCTGGGGATGTGTTGGGGGTGACTTGGTGACAAAATCAGAGCAGGAGGCCACTTTGTGAACTGTAATGTGCTGCCTGCGGAGTTCAGCAACTCTGGTTCTGGAGTGCCCCTCTCTTGCACCTTTCTTCTGGCCGGAGAAGCACCAGACTTGGGACCAGTTCTGCGCCCCCTAGGAACTCTCAAGACATTAGGGCAAGGGTGGCGGGCTGGAGGTGTTCTGAGCCCAGCAACATCTGGGAGTCCTCCCCACTCGGGGAAGCCTGGCCCTGGATGCCCATCGGTGGCTCAGCTCCCAGCCATGACTGTGTTCAGAGCTGCTGTGTCAACAGAAGCACCTGTGTGCCCAGGTCCTCCTCACTGGGCCCTACCCCACCTGTTCCACCCCAGAACCCCACCTGGAGTCACTGCCAAACCAGCTCTCCCACAGGAAACCCCAGGAACACCCACTGTGAGCAGGAGAAGGGGCCTCAAAAGTGTGGGGAGGATGGGCCAGAATCATCCTGGTATGCAGCCTGGAGGGCTTCCTGCAGGAGGTGAAAATCAAACAGTGCTGAGGTTAGAAGTGAAGTTGACTGCAGCTGATGCAGCCACCTGGATGGGATGCTTTAGGGTATCTGGGCACAAGCTCCCCAGGACAGCAGAGGGGAGGCAGAGCTGGGAGGTGAGGGCGGGGTCTGGGTCTTCACCCCAGGGCGGGGCAGCCTCCCAGGGCTTAGAGGGGCCACTAAGCCCATCTCAGTCTGGGTTACTGCCTCAGATTGGTGACAGAAATAAGACGCCCTAGACGAGCAACTTAACCCCTCGAGAGTCTGCTTCCTCCACTGTGAAATGGGCATCTCGTGTCCTTCAAGGACCGGCTGTACGCCTGGGAAGCCCTTGGCGGGTCCCTGGGGCAGCTGTCAGGATTGATAACGGGACTGCATGGAAACGTCCATCCATCCCGAGGCACTGCCACCGCGTTCCTGGGGCGCTCTGCTAACAACGTGAGCAGATCCATGTGTCCAAACCACCCGCTCTGTCCCCATCTCCAGCGAACACTTGGTCTCTGTTAGGGGTGAAGGCACAATGCAGAGGACATGGGTCCTGTGGAGTCTTAAGAAGACAGCAGCCCCTGACCTCCGGGAGCTGGCCTGGCGCTCACAGCTGGGGTCTCCTGTTGGACATAATTTCAGAGAACATCAATATTGGTCCAGGCCACACTGTGACCGTGATGTCTTAAGACAAAACAAGACCCCTCTGTCACACCTGAACATACACCAGACATGGACGTGACCCAAACCTCAGAAAGACCGAGCACCCCCATCCTGGCTGGCGAGAGGGACAGCCACCTTTTACCAACCACGGCTGGAGCCTCGCCTCGCCTGCCCCCCTCCTGGATGAGATGTGTTAAGATGCTGCACTAGGCTGAAGGGGTCCCCCCAACTTCACGTCCACCTGGAAGCTCAGCATGTGACCTTTTTTGGAAATAGGGTCTTTGAGGATGTAATTAGTTAAAATGAGGTCATACTGGATAGGGTGGGCCCTAAATCCAAGGACTGATGTGCTTACAAAAAGAGGAGAGGACAGACACACACAGGGAGAAGGCCACGCGAAGGAGGCAGAGACTGGAGTGACGCCCAAGACTGCGGGTCCCACTAGAAGCTACGAGAAAGGCCTGGAACAATCTCCCCCGGAGCCTTCGGAGGGAGTGTGGCCCTGCTGACACCTGGGTTCCGGATTTCTGGCCCCCAGACTGTGAGAAAATAACTTTCTGTGGTTTTAAACCGCCCAGTTTGTGGTCCTTTGTTGGGGAGCCCCAGGAGCCTGGCACAGACCCCCAGTCAGAGGCCGCCTGCTTCCCGACAGCGTCGAACCCAGAGCAGAGCCCCTCACCCAACGCTGGCTGGACCCACTGTCCTTAACGCCTTCCTACTGAGACCCACGGCCGCGCTGTGCCCTCTCCCTCACAGCAAGGAGCGTAAACCCCCCTGTTCAACCATAGGTGTGTCCCGGTGGCCTTGGGCTGGAGGGCAACGATGGCCCAAATGCTATGGTTTCTTTGACCCTCTGATGCAGTGGAGCCCCGAGTGGGGAAAGCCACAACCGGATACGTCCCAGGGCCCCTGTGTCTCCGGGGCCCTCCCCTCCCTGAACCGGCAAGCCCCAGCCAGGCACTCGGTGACAGGTGCCTGCACTGCCAGCGCTGCCAGCTCTTGTCCAGGTCCCCCTCACCTCCCCTCCCCCCCCCCCCAACCCCTGGGGCATAAACCAACACCTCAGCTTTCATTATCTCAAAGCACACAGAGAAACCTCACACGAGGCCTAATGTCCCACTAATGGGCGGGGAGGCTGCAGCCCTTGTGTGCCCAATGGCGGGAGTAATTTACTGTAGCGCCACTTGAGAGCTGACATATTGGAGCTATTGATTTTCCCCGGGAAGATCAATATGGGGTGCGTGGGGACAGGCAGGTCCACTGCCTTCAGAAGAGCAGAGCCTTTCTCCTGGGACTGAGACCTGACGACAGGGGTGAGGGCTGGCGGGGGCAGGGGGCACAGAGCTCCACAGGGCCCGACACCACCCGCAACGGGAGGCCGTGGGAACAGATGCTGGGACATATGCTCGGCCCAACCCTGGCAGCCTGAGTGCCTGGGCCCCCAGCCCCACTCCAGGGGCCCCAATGGGTGGCCGGGGCTTGGGACACCCGTGCCACTCGGCCTGGGCCTGACTGGCTTCCCAATATCGGGCTGGACATGTGTGGGCAGTGATTTTGGAAAGCGTGTCTCTCCACTGACCCAGGGTCCTCTCAGGCTGCCGTCCTCCAGCCCCACTCCCCAGGAACGAAAGGTGGAGTTCAGCCTCACCTGCCAGACTCCTGGGTCCATGTGAACATGGCTCAGACTCAGGAGGGGAAAGGAAGGGGATGGTTCATTGACATCCCTCCTGAGACCCCAGGTCTGCTTCTTACAACTGTCTCATGCCTGTCCCCCGCCCTCCCTCCCTCACACTGTGCCTTGTGGGGTCCCATCACTGGTTGCTGGGACTTGTGCTCTGGCACCCACCCTGGTCTCCGGTCTCAGGCCTCCCTTGTCCAGATGTCTGCCCCGCGCTGCACTGTCCGTGTTCCTCGTCCCAAACACCTATCTGCTCGTTTCTCCCCCACTCTAGAATTCTCTGTTCCAGGCTGGAGTCTCCTCCTTGGTCTCTGGTCAGGCAGAGAAAAACATTGGGATTATGCCAGCAAAGAAGGACAAAGGGCTGGCTGGCTGTGGACAGTCTTCCCGTGGCTGGCACGAGCGGACCATTTGCGGGACCCAAAGCCCCAGCTCCACGGACGGGGGGCCTAAGGTAGAGACCAGGATGGAAGAGCAGCCTGTGGGGTGGGGGTGGAAACCACGGCCCTCGAGAGGGAGCAGGCCCTGGGGGTGGTGACCATCAAGCGCCCTGCTCCCCACGAGAGCCCCATCCTCGCACTGAGATTTGGTCCCAGTGACAGAGGGAAGAACCGAGTGTGCGGGCCGTCTTGGCTCCCTGTGGCCGGGAGGAAGGTCCAGGAGGTCCTGCAAGCCACTCAGACCCCTTTCCAGCCGACACTTCCCGCTGTGAGTGTCCTGTTGCTGCTGTAACAACAGGGCACCAACGGAGGGGCTGAAAACAACACAGATGTATTATCGTGCAGTCCTGGAGGTCGACATCTGCGGGGCCACACTCCACTGGCTCCCGGGGAAAATCACTTCCTTGTGTTTTCCAGGTTCTAGAGGCCGCTCCATTCCTGGGCTCGGGGCCCCGTCCACCCTCAAAGCCTTGGCCCTCTGCCTCTGCGGTCACACTTCCTCTCACTCTGACCCCCTGCCACCCTCTTACAGGGACCCCTGTGATGACAGTGGACCCACGGGATAATCCGGGGTCATCTCCCATCTCGGCGTCCTCACCTCTGCCGGGTCCCTTTGCCATGTGAGGTGGCATGTCCACAGTTCCTGGGGATTATGGTATGTATGTCTTTGGGGCCATTGGTCAGTTGACCACAGGGGTGTGGGCTCTGCCTGGGTCTTTTCCAGGCTGTCGCCTCTGCTGGAACGTCTTCACTTCCTGCAGCTTGGCTGGGTGAGCTGAGCTCCTGCTCCCATCACTGCCCTGCGATCGACCTCCTTCATGAAGCCCCCTCCTCTGGTCACCCCGGGGGCCGGGACCTTCTCGAAGGCAGGGCTGCGTCTCATCTTCCTCAGGCCACCCCCACTGTCCAGGTTGGGCCACTTCGGCAGGCTGGAGGCTGAGTCCAAATGCTCTCCTGGGGCCTCCACGCAGCCTGCACATCTCATGGCCCCTGTGGCCTCACCCCCTCGGGGCTGAGCAAGGTGGAAGTCCACTAGCAGACCCCGGGCCTGTCTCCAGCCCCTTCACAGGCTCCGGCCCTGACCTTCCCCGACGATCAGCAGGGGGCACTGCGGCTACAGCTGGGGCAGCTGTGGGCCCCTCCCCTGGGGTCCAGCCTGGGTCCTGGGCCATCACTGCAAACCCCCTGGGCCAGCAGGGAGGCAGGGGCTGTATCTCGCAGAGAGGGAGCCTGGGGCCCCAGCAGCCTGGGAGCCACCTGGAACCCCAACCCCGGGCCTCCCAGAGGTCTTGGCTGTGCTGGGTCAGAGGGAGGCCAGCAGCACCACTCCACGGCCAGGACCTGGGCAACAGTGTCATCGCGCCCCAGAGTCTCTGGGCAGAACCCTAGCCATGCCTGAAGTCAGTCTCTTGGGGACCAAGGTCCAATGCGGACTGGACTCACAGGTCTGCGCTGTGGGCTGCCGGGAGGGCTGGCACTCGCACCCACAGAGCTGGCATCCCTCCCCTCTCCCTGCAGCCTGCTCCTGGGGCCTGCAGTGGCCCTGCCCCTCGCCACCCCTCTCCTTGGTCCTGCCCCAGGCAAACAACCTGGTTCTGAGACATCTGCCATGTGAAGACCCACTGATGGCAGGCCACCAGCCTGGCCCAGTGCAGATCTCATTCTTGGGGTGGACCTTGCCATTTCCTGGTCACTCCCCCAAAAGCTGGGGGTCCTGACTTTGGGTCCAAGCACTGAGCACCTGTGTTGGGCCCTCCACATGCCCGAGTAATGACTGGCAGCAATCAGCATGGCAGACTCGCCCACCGGCTCCCACTTGCAAGAAAGGCCTGGGTCCCTGTCCACATCCCACCTGTTACAGAGTGTCACTAGGTAGGAGAGGCACCATCCCTGCTTGAAGGACGTGGAGCCTGGAGCTGAAGGGCAAGGACCCAGGGAGGGGTGGAGTGGCATCCACATCCTCCTGGCCCCATGGATGGGTGAGCCCACACGTCTGGAAGGCAGATCAGGAACCATGTGTGACCGTGGGACCCAGGGCCAGGCACATGCCAGGCTGGGAGGGGCTGCTGTCCTGTCCTCAGAGCCTGGCCCACCAGCAGTGGCAGCTTTGGGAGTCACAGTGAATGGGACTCTGGAGTCCTCCCAGTGGGCATCTCCAGGGGCCACATCTGGTGAGTGACAGGTAGGGGCCACAGTCACATATGGAGGGCCCTTATTGAGCTGAATAGTGTCCCCCAAAACTTGTGTCCGCCTCAACTTCAGAGTGGAACCTTGTGTGGAAATAGGGTCACTGCAGATGCAGCCAAGGGAAGGCGAGGTCAGAGTGGAGGGGGCCCTGAGTCCAGTGACGGGCATCCCTGCAGGAGGAGGGAAACGTGGACACAGACACCCGTGGGGGGATGGCCATGGGACCACAGGGAGAGAGACTGGGATGATGCAGCTACAAGCCAAGGAATGCCCAGAGAGCCACGGGACGGATTCCCTCCAGGGCATCCAGAAGGGACCAAGCCCCACCCCCCCCCATGCCTTGACCTTGGACTTCTGGCCTCCAGACCATGAGAGTATCCCTCTCTGCTGTTCTCAGCCCCAATTTGTGGTGATTGGTTTACATGGGCCCCAGGACACTCATCAGCACCACAGGGCAGGGGCTGGGCACCAGGGAGGTTGGGGCGTTGGGGAGCCACAGATCCTCTGGGGTCCTGCTGCTGGTGTCGGTTGTAACCCATCGGGGAAGCGCAGTGAGGACACCCCACAGGCAGGTTCCATGGGGCTGGAGGTACTGAGCCCTCAGAGGAAGGCATGGGAGCCAAAAAAAGAAGCAGAGAAAGGAGGTGCCCTCTCAGCTTGGCCCCTGGGGACAAAGCTCTGTGAGCGGTGGGGGAGCAGGGGTTCAGCTGGATTTATTGCAAACGCACCTGCAGCTCTGGGACTGCAGGAGGGGCTGGGCGGGAGCTCCAGGGGCCTCACTTGCATGAGCCCCTCCCCTGGCTGGTGGTCCCCAGCCTCCCTCTCTTGGCCTCCCAGGTCCTGCGGCCGTCCCGGAGCCCTGTTCCCTGGAGCACGGCAGAAGCAGGATGTCTTCTAGAGAAGGCTACTCCAGAAGTCAAAATAGCATGAAATTTAATTTTCCGCCTATTTGACAAGGCTGGGTCCAGGCCCCAGTGAACGGGGAGATAAGGGTCCTCTGCCGGGTGTGAGCCAGCTGGGACCGTGGCAAACACTCCACGGTCCCCAGGCAGGCCATACTCCCCCCGCGGGGCCTGGTTGCCGGGCGCTAAAGCAAACGGGCTCTGTTTGCCGGGTCTGCGATGACAATGCAGTCGCCAAATATTTGCCAGCCTGGCCGGCCGTGGAGCCCGCCTATAAATGCTTGAGCCCAGGTGGAGGTGGGCCTGCCCGGCGGGAGCTGCAGGCCTCAGCAGGTAGGAGTCAGGCGGGAGGGTGCTGGTGGTAGCGGGGGTCTGGCTTCCTCCCCCTCCCTTCTGCTCGGATGGTCTTTGGAGACCACCCACCCACTGCCAGGTTGCCAGCAGGGCTGGGCCATCAATTAGGCGTTGTTGGGGCAAGCACAGGCTTGGGGCAGGAAGGGAGCTAAGTCTTGGCTCCCCAGGAGCGACTATCGCCACGGCCCAATGCTGGGGCCACGGGACACCCCGGCAGGGAAGATCAGGAGGCCAGAGTGGCCAGAGGGGGACACGGAGAGGGGAGGCCTGGGCTGCTCCCCGCCCTCCCAGGTCGGCCTGACTCTGCCTGACGCCTGTGCACTCACCCGGCCCCCTCAGGGGATGAGGTCAGGTTATTTTCTGACAAGCAGTGAGCCCCTCTCCCTCTCTCAGCACCACCTTCCCTTTCTTCCTCCCTCCTGCCTGGGGCTCTTGCCAGGAGGCCAAAGGGCTCTCCCACCTGCCTCCCCGCTCAGCCCAAGGGGCTGGTGGCACTTGTCTTGGGGGTGGGGGGGTGCTCCGGCATTCAGAATCAGCCTATCCTATCAGTCACTTCCCAAATTCCACCCCCGCTCCAGTCCTGTGAGCCCCAGGCCCACACGCCTTCCCCACCTCCCCTGACCCCACGAAACCCAGGTTAGGCATGCCCGAGGTGTCCTCTCTTCCACCAACCTCCCCCCACTGGGAGCAGATGAAAGCCCGGGGCATGACAGCGTTTATTAAAATTAGATGGGACAGGAGCACTAACACCGACTCTGAGCATCCCCTGGAGCCCAGGAAGCAGCTGGCTGAGGCAGCAGGCCCAGCTCCTGGGCTCAGTGTGGGCATCTCAGGGACGAAGAACCCTTCCAGCCCCAGGCACCATGTGACAGGCCGAGGGTCCCCCTCTTCCATCTGGCACCTGAGCCGAGGACCGGAGCAACCCCACGCTGGGATCAGTCTCCGGGCTCCAGGGCCCCAAACCCACCAGCACCCCACCCCTGGGCCAGGTTCCTTCCCACCTCCCCTGCTTTGTTCCCCAGTCTCGACTGTTCCAGCAGCACTGTCCCCTCACCCCGCCTCCCTGCGTCTGCCAACCACCCCCTTCCTCTGGCCGGAGACCGTCCCATGGGCTCTCCCCCTCCACTCCTGCCATGCCCACCCACCCAGGGTCCCATCACACACGGTTTCTTCCAAGCTCAGTGCCCTCTCCAAGCACAGGCGGCCCCACAAGCCTGCAGTGACCCATTCCCTGGGGAGAGATGCAGGCCCTGACCACTAACCTGTCCCTTCTCCACCTCCCTCCCCAGCTGGCGCCTGCTGCCCCGGAGGCCCCAGAAGCTCGGCGGCGTGGAGGAGATGGCCGCAGGCGTGATCCGGCCGCTCTGTGACTTCCTGCTGCCCCTGCCATCCCATGGGCCCTTCCCGCCCTCAGACCCAGAGCCCCCAGACACTTCAGAGGAGGAGGAGGAGGAGGAGGAGGAGGAGGAGGAGGAGCAGCAGCAGGAGCTGGAGGTTGAGGGGCCAGGGGCCCGCAGCCCAGCCCCCCAGAGTTCAGGTTGGGCCTCAACTGCCCCAGAAGCGGTCCCTCTGGATCCGAGCGTCCCCGAGACGCCGCTGCGGCTGCTGCAGTTTTCCAGGCTCATCAGCAGTGACATCCAGCGCTACTTTGGCCGCAAGGACAGGGGACAGGACCCAGATGCCTGTGACATCTATGCCAATGGCCGCCTGGTGGGCAGCTCAGCCGGGGAGCTGTACTGTGCCGACCTGGTGCGCCTGGCCCAGGGTGGGCCCCCTGATGACAGCGTGGCTGCCGAGCCCAGGGTCCGCTTGCCCGGGGGTCCCCAGGGGCAGGTGCGGGGGCCGGGCCTCGGTGGGGCCAGGGCGCAGCCGCTGGGGCCCCTGGCAGAGCTCTTCGACTATGGGCTGCGGCAGTACCCGGGGCCCCGGGCATGGGCTGGCCGCCGGCTGCGGCTGGAGCAGAAGTACGGCCACATCACCCCTATGACCCAGAGGAAGCTGCCCCCCTCCTTCTGGAAGGAGCCAGCGCCCAGCCCCCTGGGCCTACTCCACCCAGGCACACCAGACTTCAGCGACCTGCTGGCCAGCTGGTCAGCGGAGGCCGGCCCCGAGCTGCCGGGTGGAGGTGCCCAGGCCCCGGAGGGGGTGCAGCTGGCCGAAGCCTAGTGAGCGGGCTGGGGTCAATGGGGGTGAGACGGAGGCAGCAGGCGTCCAGACTCTCCTGATCCCTCTCCTGGGAGCCCCCCGGGGCCCTCCAACCAGGGTGGCCACTAGCAGGACAAACCAGCTCAGGCGGGGACTTCTCAGGCCCAGGAAGAAGGGCTGGGCTCATCCTGGGGCCTGGAGCTGCCACAACCAAAGGCCACCAGGGGAGGGAACGGGCAGGAGCCACAGTCCTGGCCACCCTGGCCCTCGGCCCTCAGAGCTCTACCCACAGTGGGGAGGACAGGGCAGGAGCTGTGGCCTCTTGGAGGCCATGGGCTCAGTGGGTGAACACATGGTGCCCCCCACTGGGCAAGGCTCATTCTCCATCCAGACCACTGCCCTCCTCACTGCCCATCCCCCTGGCTGGCCCCAGCACGGCGCCTCCGCACAGTCCCGCAGCAGGTGGCTACAGCAGAATGAGCCGAGGGTTTTCATGGACCGGCAGGAAGCGGGGGTGCTGCCCGAGGGCATAGGTGAACACGCTATTTGCTCCCTCCATGAGGGCAGGGAGAGCCACTTCCTCCCCAGGCACCGCACAGCCGGCAGCCATGGACCCCGAGGCTGGGCCACCTGCCTGCTAGGGGGCCCAGCTGGGGGTGAGTGGGGCTCCTAGGCCACTGTGCCTGTTGGTGGGAAGCCCCAGTAAAGTGGGTGGGCCTGGGGCTCAGCTGGCTTGGGCAGAAAGGGGTTCTGGGAGTCTGGGGACAGACAGGCTCTGGGAAGGGTCCCCTTGGTCACTCCCACTGCCTGTGGCCTCCTGACCCCCTGGGTGGGAATTCTGGGCTCTGACAGGAGCAGGAGCTGGCACATTTATTTCTGGGAGAGGGGCAAGGACGTGAGCTGTTGGGCAGGCTCCCAGCTGAGGGACTTCTCCAAGACCGCTCTTGGCCTCCGCTGGGCCACCAGGCTCAGGAGGACCGACTTCCACCTCAGCCACCTGCTCAGAGATATGGCTCACGGCTCCTGGATCCTGCCTCTGCCCACTGCCCTCGGGGCCTCCCCCAGCCCCGAACCTGGACCTGGAGGGGTCTCCAGAAGGCCCCCCACTGCTTACCTCACGGCCTGATACACACCCCAGCGGTTCACGGGGGCCACCTCGCTGGCGGCCACGTCCTTGATGAAGAACCGGTGGCTCACCAGCGACACGAGGACCCTCCTGCTGCCCGGCGTCAGGGCCCACGGGCCCTCCTCACTCCACAGGCGCATCATGCTCTCCCGCAGGGTGGCCATCTCCTCCGTGCGCTGTGGACGCAGTGGAGCATGGGGGCGGGAGGGGCGGACTGACGCAGGAATGCAGGGGGCAGGGGATGGGGGGCGACGGTGAATGGGGTTTATCTCCCTCTGGGCAAACCAGGGCCTTATCTGCCCAGAAACGCTGCCTGGGCCAGAAACGCAGACAGACGGACGGCCAGGAGCGGGCCAGGCTGGGAGGGGCAAGGGGAGGTGGGAGTCAGGCTCCACCAGAGGAAGGCGGCCACCCGCAGAGCCTGGGAACCCCGTGGAGCCACAGGGGCCGGGTGAGGGTCCAGCCTGGGGCCACCTCTCACCAGCTTGGTTTCTGTATTAAACCTGAGGTTCTGGACGGCCTTGTTGTCCCGGATGCTGTTTTCCAATTTCATTATTTGGTTCTGAAACTAAATGCGGCCCCCATTCGTGGGCATGGAAGTGGGGAGTCTACGGGCCTGGGGGCAGCCCCCCTCATTCACTCAGGGCAGGAGCTGGCCTGTGACACGTGGGTCCTCGCCCCTGGGTGGGATCCGGGGCGTGTCACAGCCCAATGAGAAGGTGGGACCCGGCTGGTGCTGGGGGCCGCTCCTTTCCCTGCAATTGCTGATGCCCCTCAGCATTTGGGGGCTCCACACAGGTGCCCCCACTTGGTATTCCTGGAGGCTGAGACATGCAGAGCCACCCAGCAGGACAGCTGGTTCTGCAAGTCTTGACGCCCCCGCATGAGGTGTCCTGGATCTGAGCCTCCCTGGGGCCCCATGAAGGGAACTGTCCTGTCTGAATCAGGTGACCGCCCACTCTCCTGAGTGCAAGGGGCGCTGGGGCCCGAGGGTACCGTAGTCAGCTTGCCCTGGATCTCGGCGATCTTCCGCCCAGGGTTGCCCTCCCTGAGAAGCTGCATGGACGACAGCACAGCAGCCAGCTCCTGCCGCATGGCCCCGAGCTCGAACTCTCTGTGGGCACAGGAGACAGGGGGCTGCCAGGCTCTAGGGGGTGCCCGGGAGGCAGGGTGGGTGGAGGGAGGAGGCCCTGGGCAGAGCACAAAGATGCTCAGCCTTGTCACCCCTCCAAGGGGGACTGGGGGTCCCCAGCAGGTGACAGAGGGAAAGGCTCAGGGATACGTGCAGGCTGCACCGGTGTGCACCAGACCCAGGCTGGGGAGGGGTCGGAGCTGCCACAGGTGCTGGGGGCTTGGGGAGGAGCGCTCTCAGGAAGCCTCGCTGATGCACCAGGCTTGCTCTGAGACAGCTGCACCCTCCTGGGGAGGGGACCAGCCCTGCTCCTGATGCTCAGCAGAGCTCACTCCCCTCCCCAGGGACCACGGTCCTGCCAGGCCGTGGCAGGGGGCTCGGGCCCTCACCTGGTTTTGGCCTCGGCAGAGATCTTGAGGTCTGAGTCACTCCTGTGGAGGACGCACTTGTCGGAGACAGCCTCTATCTGAAACGAGGAGCCAGGGGCCAGCGGGCAGCTAAGGGGGGCACAGAGGGGCGGGGGAGGCTGCAGCCCCAGCCCTCACCCACCTGCCGGGGCAGGCTGTCCACTTTCTCCCGCACGTCCCTCAGGTGTGCTTCGGCCTCCTCCCGGCACCGGGCCAGGCCCTCCATGGATTTCCGCTCTGCGCCTTCCCACTCACTCTTTGCCTGGGACATGGAGACCCAGTGAGGGCCAGAACCCAGAGATGGAGAATGGACAGACAGACACATGGGGCCCACTGGAGCCAGTAGGACCCGAGACACTGGCACCCACGCAGTAGAGAGCTCCTGGACAGCATGGGGCCCCCACGTCCACCTCTGACTCCGAGCATGTCCACACAGACCACACGCAACCCCAGGAAGTCCTGGCCAGGCACATCTGGGGACAAGGTCTTCCCAGGAAGGGCCACCAGGCTGGGCAGAGCCACATCCATAAGAAGAAGGCCTAGCTCAGCCCCCTCCACATGCCAGCCCCACCTGCCCACGGGAATTGGTAGGGACTGGAACAGAGGGCAGACAGCCTGCCCGCACCCGCAGGAGAGGGGCTGCAGGGCAGGCCAGGGGGACCCAGCCCACAGCCAAAGGGTGTACATGTGCATCCACAGCAGCGCCATCCAATCGCCAAGAAGGGCAACAGCCCAGTGTCCGTCAGCTGACGAACGGATAAACCAGTCGGTCCACCCACACAGTGGAATTTTATTTGGCCATGAAAAGGCATGAAGCACTGACACACGCTAAAACACGGATGAACCTCAAAAACACGCCGCTCTGGGAGAGAGGGTGTGAGCCCGTTTCTGTGAAACATCCACAGAAGAGGCAAACCCACAGAGACAGAAAGCAGATGAGTGGGCACCAGGGGTGGGGGGCAGGAGGAACGACAGGGAGTGACCGCTAACGGGACAAGGCCTCCTCGTGGGGTGATAAAAAGTTCTACAGGGGCTTGTGCTGGTGGCTGTGCAACTGTGAATCTAAGAAAAGCCACTGCACTGTACGCTTTTAAAGGGTAAATTGTGTGGTGTGTGAATTAAACCTCAATAAAGCTGTTAGAAAAAAGGAGAAAAAAGAACCCTTGGGGCAGAGGCTGCCTCGCGGCTGGCTGAGTCCCCTGAGTGGTGGGGCGTCGGCCTCTGAAAGTTTCAGCAGCTGACCTCTGGCCTCTGGGGCTCAGGACCACCCTAGGCTTTGCAGACAGTTGCTGGGTGGGGGTGGGAGGCTTGGGATCTGCCGGTCAAGCCTCCACCCTCAGGGACGGCTGGGGAGCAGGAGGGGCGCCAGGACCCCACCTGTCTAAGCATGCCCTGCCCCGACGCAGCTCTGCTCTGCTCACCTCGCGCAGCCTCAGGCTCAGCGTCTGCTCCTGCAAGTCCAGCCTCCAGCTCAGGGCCAGGAAATGGTCACTCAGGTCCTTCACCTGCCTGGCGAGCTCAGCCACGGACACCTCCAGGGCCTGGCTCTTCTCTTGGAGCTGCGGGAGGCCAGGCTGAGTGTGGGTGCCTGTGTGGGGACGGGGGGTACCCTGCAAGGAGACCTGACTCAGTCCCTGACGCCCTCACCAGCTCCAGCACGCTGTGTGTCTCCTGCTGGGCCAGCTCGCCGGCCAGCTGCATGGCCTCCAGGTTCTCCTGCAGGTAGGCGGCCAGTTCCTCAGCCTGGCTTTCCTCCAAGTGCCCCTTGGCGTCCCTGGGGGTTGACGCCATCAAGAGACTGTCCCCCAGCTGAGGCTGGCCTGCCCCTCATTGCTGGGCCAGGGAGGGGAGCCTGGGTGCTGGCCCCAGAACCTTTTAGGAGAGCCCAAGGAGCAGAGGATGGAGTGTTATCACAGAGGCCACCAAGACAGGGCTGCGTCCACTGCTGCCACACAGAGTTCCCTTGTGAAAGACAGGCTGGTGGGGGGACACCAGAGGGCAGCTACTCTGCCCCAGGGTGCCCCACTGGGCCTGGTGCTGGGCTTGGGATGCCAGACTCGGGGGAGAAGGGCCATCCCCGTCCACCCGGCCTGACCGACACCTACCGGGCCTTCTGCTCAGCCAGCAGGACTTGGTTCAGCGACACCTGATTCTGCTGCACGAACTTGGTCAGCTGGACCACGGCCTTGTCCAGGCCCTGGCACTGCTCCAGGAGGTGGCATTCTTCCTGCTACTGTGTGGAGGCGGCCTTGAGACCTGCGCCCCTGGACACCCCAGCCCACGCCTAGCCCGCGGCCACCCACCTTGCGCTGCCCCCACAGGGCCTGGACTCGCTCCTCGTCCAGCTCCTGGAGCTTCTGCCACCTGCTCTCCAGCTCCTCCCGCAGGCCGCTCTCCGCCTTCAGCCTAGCGCTCTCCGAGGTCTTCATTCTCTGTGGGGGGACCACCCCTGTCTGTTCGAGCCCGGCGAGTGCAGGCGGCCAGGCCCAGCTGCCCACGGCTCCCACCTTCTCGAGGGCCAGGAAGCTCTTCTGCAGGAAGCCGCACAGCTTGGCCTCCCTCCTGAGGAAGCGGAGACTCATCTCCTCTCCGAGCTTGGTCACCTGGGCCTGCGGAGGGAGGTCCCCGTGGTCACCGTGCAGCTTCCGTGCTGGGCATCTTCCTTGCCACGGCCACCCCTGACCACTGCGCCCTCATGGGCTTGGTTGTTTTCTTGCCCAACTATCTTCATCAGAGGATAAGTGTCCACTGCTGTCCCTGAGCCTGCCAGAGCCCGGCCCGCTATACCCTCCTGAGGAAGGAAGGGCAGGGACCACATGTCCCCACAGAGGGCCAGGCACAATGGTTGTGAATGTCTGAAGACCGAGCTCCCGTGGGTCCAGAACACACTTTGTGCTCTCAGTGACCACCAGATGCCACCCAGGGAAGGTGGCACAGCAGCCACCAAATCACACCCAGAGCTGGGAGCCTCTGGCAGGGAGGCCAAATGCATGTCAGCACAAACTTGTGCACATGTACACACATATATGCACATGTGTGCACACAGTCATACAAAAGCATGCACACTCAGACACATGTGCGCATATAAATCCAGCGCATCCACACACACACATGCACACAATGCACACAATGCCTACACTCCCACACACGCGCATGCATGCACACGCCCTTGCCCTCTCTCCCTCCTCCACATCAGCTCCTTTTGTGCTGCACCAAGGTCCTGGGGGAGCACTAGTGGGGAGTCAAAGCCCAGCCAGGCCCTGTCTCCTGGCTTCACACACCCGCAGGACAGCAGGCCCTGGCACAAGGCACCTTTTCTGCAGCCACAGAGCCCTCCCAGGGCCAGGAGAGCTGCCTACAGCCCACAGAGCAGCTGTACCCTAAGCCCCTACCCCATGTGGGAGGACCTAGGGCAGGGGTCGGCAAGATCTCGCTGTAAGGAGCTGGAGAGTAGATGTTTTAGGTTTATGGGCCACAGGCACTCGGTCCCAGCTCCTCAGTGCAAAGGCAGCCGTGGACAATATGGGTGTGGCTGTGCGCCAATAAAACTTTATTTACAAAAACAAGTGGTGGGCCACAGTTTGCTGATCCCAGCCCTAGAACGCACTCAGGGAAGAGGCAGGCACCCCATGAGTATGCCTGGCATGTCAGGAATCCCTGGGCCCAATGCTTTCTGGAGATCCTGGGCCGGCAGGAGGCAGGAAGCCTCTCGATGGAGGGAAGACACTAGGTTCCCAAAGGGCAGCGGGAGGGGACGCCACCGAAGCTGGGCAGCCGAGCTATGTGGGCAGCAGCTGGAGAGCACTCGGTCCCCTGCCTCCCCTCTGCAGTGCAGGCCCTGGTCTCTATTTGCAGAGCTGAAGAGGCCAGGTCTGGAGACGTGCCTGCCTAGTCCCCTGTACTTCCTAGGGCCATGCGCGAGGGAAAACCACCCCAGCCCGGGACCGGCCCCCCAAGAGATGCGTCTTCAGGAAGGAAATTTCTACTTCACCCAGAGGGAAGCACTGAGATTGAAAATAGCCACAGAAGGGCTTCAGGGCTACGATGCTCTGCTTCCTGATCTGGGTGCTGGTTATGCGGGGAGTGGGGAGCAGAGGCTGAGATGGCGCTAATGAGGGGACTATAATGAAGGCCACACTCCATCTCAATGCTGCCCAAATCGGCAGCCACGGGCCGTGCGTGGCCACTGAGCATTTGAAATGTGGCTCACATGATCGAAGAACTGAGTTTTAAATTGTCTAAAACGCTGGCTAATTTCAATATGCAGAGCCATCTGTGGCTAGTGACTGCCGTATTGGGCAACACAGGACTGGGGTTGCCCCTCAGGTCTGGTCACATGGACAGAACCAAACAAATTGCTGGAACAAGGGAAGAACCACCGACAGGAAGGAGAGGGGCTGAGCAGCATCGGGGGCTCTTCTAGATGGACCCTCTTGCCGGCCACTCAGCTGGCTGCACGGATGCCAGAGCCCTGTCCGGCCCAGCCTCCCTCCAGGGTACCTGCATCCTGGCCACCTCGTGGTCCACCCTCTGGCTAGCTTCCTCCTGGCTCTTCTGCAGGGCACCACAGGCTGCCTCCCGATCCTGTTCCTCCTGCTCCAGCTTCCCAGTCAGCTTGGCCAACCTAGGGGCAACGGCCACAGGTCACAGCAGTACAGCCAGCTGGAGGGCCTGGCTGGGGAGCCACAGGGAGGCTGGCAGGGCCCCTGAACACTGAGTCCTTCTTGGGCTGGGGCCTGCATCTGGGGGTCCTTGGCTGACTTCCAGGCCAGTGGAGCAGGAGGTATACAACCTGCCCTGGGCAAACAGAGAGGGCAAGGTGCTGAGGTCCCTCTCCTTCCCAGACGGTGAGAGCTGGGTGCCAGGTGGGCATGACTAATGGGGAAGGGCAATGGGTGGGGGTCCTGGGCTAAACTCTCTTTCCCCCACAGAGGGTCCACAGGGGGTTTGAGGTCTCGTCAACCAGCGGCTTGGCACCGAGGGCCGGAGAATGCTTGCCCTGCCTTGGTGACTCCCACACGACCACACACCGTGGGTCCAGAGACAGCCCCCCGGGAGGGAGGCGGGCAGCGCCCACCTGAGGCTGGCCTCCTGCTTGGCGCCCTTCCGCTCGGAGTCTTGGAGCGCCTGCTTCCTCCTGATCTGGGTCAGGGCCTCCCGGACCTCCACCAGCCTGCCACACAAGAGCCGCTTCTGCCCCAGGCCTGCCCAGCCCACCCTCCTGGTGGCGAGGAGCAGCCGGAGCAGGCTAGGTGGCGTTTGGGAGCTAGGGGCCCAGCTGGGGGGCCGCAGCAGCAAGCTTCCCCGCTCCCAGGCCCCTGTGGCTGCTGAGCTCTTACAAACCCAGACCTGTCTGAGTCAGGCAAGATGTGTATTTCTTACCTGAGCAAGACAACTAGCGGGGGGAAACGAGGCTGATGCCTCAGCTGGGGGGCACCTGTCACAGCTTTCCCAAAGCCCCTTTCCCTCCCACGAAGGCCTGCACCACAGGTGTGGGGTACCTCTTGTCCAGGGCCTGCATCTGGTTCTGGAGGCTGGGGAGCTGCAGGCAGGAGGGTGTGGGCTGAGCGCAGGCCTGGGGTCCCCACAGCCCAACCAGCACAGACACAGGGCGCCGGAGCTGGGCATCAGCGATTCGCTGGGCTCCAGGCCTGGGCAGCAGGGGCTGAGCTGGGCTCAGGGCCCAGGAAGCAGCTGCCCTGACATCGGGAACAGGGGAGCCTGGCCTCTGGGTGGGGGCTTCCTCCTGGCCAAGGGTGGCTCACCTCGCAGGCCTCCTCAGGGCCCCGAGCCACTTGCAGCCCCTCCTGCTGCAGCCTCTTCAGCTCTGAATCTTGCAGCTGCACGCAGGCGCGCACCTGGAGCAGCTCCCGCAGCAGCCTCAGCATGGAGTGCTCACAGCGGTCCTTGTGTCCCCGCAGGGACACCACCTCGGCCTGCAGGTCAGCCACCCTGGCCGGGGCAAGGTGCCGGTCGGGTCAAGCCACGCTTGCTGGGAGCTGACAGTGTGGGTGGCCCGTCCCTGCTCCCCACGGGGCTCACCACTGTTCTAGCTGCTTCCAGCGCTCGGGGGTGTCCTGCTCTGGGACAGAGATGGTGGATGTCTGGCAGCTGGGCTCACACCTGCCTGAGATCTCCTCCAGACTCAGGGCCTCAGGGCTGTCTAGCCCCTCCTCTAGGAGCCCCAGGTCCTCCAGGGTGATGGTGCTCAGCTGGGAGGGGAGCGAGGCCCCCAACGAGGGATTGCTACCAGCCAGCTCTGCAAGAAGGCACCTTGGAGCTCACCCCTCGGCCTCCTGGGCCAACGAGGGGTGCCAGCTCGCAGGTAGAGCGCGGGATCACACGCACCCAAAGCCCTGCAGCAAGTGCCCAGCGAGCTCACCTTGGCTCATCCTGCTGTCACACAGCCCGGCCCAGGGAGGCTCAGCTCTCGTTGCCCCCCAGCAGGAAGCTCAGGTTCCGAGAAGTCCAGGCCCCTGCCTGAGGACACACAGCACTGTGCAGGAGAAACAGACACCCCGCACAGGCCCTCCCCTGGACTGTTCTCCTGGCTCTGGCCCAAGTTGGCCCATGGCTCACCTGATACGGCTTCACCAGCAGCCCCCACCTGAAGCTCTGACTACTGCCGAGGCCTTGGGCCTAGCGCCCCATGGCTGCCCAAAGCTGGACACCAGGGCACTTGGGGCATGGGGGTGGGGCGGGGTGGGAGGTTCGCGGATGGAGGCAGGGAAGTCAGGGGCTGGAAGGCCCTGGAGGAGCATGTGGGGTGTGAAGAGGTGGGCTCATGCACTCACATCTTATCTCCTTCCAAGACAATACCAAGGTGGCAGAGGAGCCGCTCGGCAGGGGGTCCTCCTGGAACCTTCCTTCCCTCACCAGAACCCTGTGAGTTCACACCCCAACTGCCAGCGGAACCTGAGCCCTCAACTTTCTCCTTCCTGCAAGGCCTCACCAACCGCGCGTTTCTGGAAGGATCTGAGGGGGCACCCTTCAGTCGGCTGGTGGAGGAGTAGCTGCGGGCCTGTGGTCAGGGTCAGGAGGCATGCCCAGAAGCAATCGATGGCCCTCTGGTCATAGCACCAGAGCAGGGAGGCCGGGAGCCCCAGTCTGCACCCCAAGAAGAGGCCCCATCCCAGAGAGGGTGCTGGCCTCACGTGTGGGCTGTACCGGTGACCTCAACTTTTCTAGCAGCCACAACAAGAAAGTACACAAGTAAATCTTAATAGTCCATTTTATTTAACCCAATATACCTAAAACATTCTCATTCCAACATGTGATCAGTACGAAGATGTTAGTGAGATGAAGAAAATGCATTTTCTTCACACCAGGTCTTCAGAGCCCAGTGTGGGCTTTCACTTCTCACTTCAGGCCAGCACGGACACGGCCCTGCGCCCTCCCCGCCTTGTCACCCAGACTTGCCCACCGAGGGCTGGACGGGGGCTTCCCTGTGACAAGGCGCACATGCCAGTCAACCTTCGTCCAGGGGGTGCCTTTCTAAAGCCACCATGACACGGCCCCACTGCCTGTGGCCACACCACACACCTCGGGACCCAGCAGGTCAGGGAAAACGAAGACATGCAGAGCAGCGTGCCGACCCAGGGGAAGCCTTCCCACCTGTCCTGGGCACCCGAGCTTGGGGACAGGGAGTGGCCAAGAACACGGGAGGAGGGAAAGTGAGTCTTCCCTGTGGGCCTCTGTGGCTGCCCCAGGAGCAATGCTGCCAGCGTGGTTGGCACCTGCAGGACCTCCGTCCCGTGAGCCATGCGGAGGCCCCAGCTGCTTCCTCACCCGCGTCCCCTTCTCCAGGGAGATCTGCACTAGGGCTCTGCCCACCCACACCAAATACTGAGGAAGGCCCCGTCCTAGATGCCCCCATCCCCAACGGCCCCGAGAATCCCAGGCTGCTCGACTGGTCTATGCTGGGCGGGAACAAGGACACTGACATTGGCTGGCTGGGTACAGTTTCTTTATTCCTCCCATCAGGAACCCCACTCAGACCCGTCCCCCCAGGGAGGACTCCTGGCAGGAAGACTGGTCTTCTGAGGCCTCGGCCCCTTGCACTGCCTGCCAGCCCACCACAAAGGCATCTACGCTGTCTTGTCACAGAAGTGGGCCCTGGGGACACAGGACACAGGATCCAGGCCTGCCCAGCCTGGGAGGGGCACAGCATCCTTGCTCCAGGCTTACCAGCCCATCCCAGAGCCCACCTGCCCTCAGGCTTGGAACCAGAGCTGCCCCAGAATAATGCCCTGGGCCAGGGGTCCTCAGAAGCTGGGTGTAGGGGGTCCCCTCATGCTGAGAACACCCGCCTTTCCAGCTGCTATCCACACAGGTGTGGCAATGGACGTCTGTCTGGACTCGGGGGTTCAGGCCTGTGAGTGATTCTCAGCTCTCCTTTGGCCAGAGAGCCTCGTGCGCCCAGAGTCAAGGTGTGGCCCAGGGGGTGTGTGCGGTGAGTCTGGGGCAACAGCCAGCTTCCCAACAGAGCCCACTCTGGAATCCACTCTCCAAGGTGTCCTGCTCCCCAGAAGCCTTGCCTTCATGCGTCCACTGGGGCCATTGCCCAGGCAGGGCCCCACTGCACAGGCCCACCACCTCGTGGCTGCAGACTGAGCTGAGGACCAAGAAGGACAAGGCCAGAAGCCTCTGCTGCAGCCTTACGTCCCCCAGCCTTCAGGTGGGGGTGTGCAGGTGGTACGGTCCTTCTGGGTGGGCTCCCAGGGTAACGGGGAACAGAGGCAGTGATGGGGCCTTGCTCTGGGGGCCTGCAACACTCAGACCCACAGGGACCAGCTCCCTAGCTGTCTCTCTCTCTCACACACACACACACACACACACACTGAGACAGACACACAAACACACACGGAAACACGCTCATACACAAATGTGTACACACGCCCTCTCGCTGGCTCTCAGGAAGCCAGCAGCCTGCGAGGAGCAGCTGCACGAGCGTCTGATCCCTGAAGGTCGAGAAACACAGGAGGATGGAGGTTGGGATCTACGGGGCTGAGGCCAGAAGACCGAGCTGAGAATGTAAACAGAGTGCCCAGGGGGCAGTCGGCTGGTCCCCGAGGTGTGGAGGGCACTGGATTCACGGCTGCACATGGAGCGAGGCAGGAACCCCAGGAGGAGGAGGGGCCGGGGCCAAGGCCTCACGTCTGGGCCAGCGAGAGCTCCTCCAGGCCCCCCTTCCCAAGCCGGTACCGGGCCAGGTCCTTCCTGGTCACCAGCCCAACCACCTGTGGGAGCAAAGCCAGGTCACAGGGGTTGGGCAGCCCGACCTGCCTCTGTCGAAGCCCCTGCCCTGTGTGTGGTGGGCAGCCCTGTCTGGGGGAGCCCCAGAGGTGGGCACACGGCCAGCCTACATCCTGGGTCTCAAGAGTCCCTGCAGGAGCTGGGAGAAGCGCACACCTGTGCACAGGGCAGGCAGGTCTGGAGGCAGAGGGGCTGGAGTGAGCAGGAAACGGGTGTGCATGTGTGTGCACCATGTGCAAGCTCACCTGATTGTGGTTGTCCACTACCACCAGGTGCCTGAGGCCCAAAGCCCGGAAGAGCTTGAACACCCGTGGAAGAGACGCCTCCTGCAATGAGGGCACAGCCTCAGCTTGCCACCGGCCCTGGCTCCGCTCAAAAGAAGAGCAGAGGTAGGGCCTGCCAAACTCAGGGTCAGCTGTCTCCCTCGCAGACCCCACCGCCACCAGGATGTCAGGATGTGTCCTGAACTGCCCCTTCCCCTCCACGCCATCTGGCCCTGCCAGTTCGGCCTCTACAGCTGCCCCCAACCCCATTCCTGGTCCTTGGCGTAACCACAGAGCTCCTCTCTGCTCGTCCTCTGACCCACCCCAGCCCCTCAAATGCACTTTCTGGTCACATGGCCATTGAAGGCTGCCCTGTGCCATCAGAAAGGTTCTAGAAAAATTCTGGCCACCTGGTAACCCTGCAGGTGGGGCCCGCCCCACAGCCCTGCAGCCAGCACCTGGGGCACAGTATACGGGGAGGGGTTCATGAACTCGGAGAGGTCCATGGTGCACTCGCGCTCATCCTGGGACACGTGGATGGACTGGATCGGGGGGAAGCGCGGGTAGGCATCACGGAAGTCCTTCAGCCTCAGCCGCCGCCGCACCAGCCCCATGTTGGACCGCTCCACAAACACCTGCAGGCAGCGGACAGTGCCGTGTCACAACCCAGCACCAGGCCCAGTGTCTCCCGCTGCCCCGGAGGTGCCCGACAGGCCAACCTTGTGCTTTAGGAGGACGATCAGCTGGGAGCGCAGGATCAAGCCCTGGAGCCGGGCCAGCTGCAGAAAAACAGACAGGCTTGTCTATGCGCGGGCGGAGCCCAGAAGCCGTGGCCCTTCCTGCCTCACCGGCTCTGCCAGTCCATATCGATGTGTGGTCACCACTAGGTCTCACAGCAGGCTTCCACCTGCACAAGCTCATTAACTCCCAAACGCCCCGCAGTGCAGAGCCCCGCACCGTGAGGCTGGAGCGTCTGCCAGGGGCAAGATGTAGACCCAGCCTGGACAAACTCATCCCAAACCTTTGGATGCATGGTGACAGGGGTGCCACACGTCCCGTCAGAACTGCTCCTGACAAAACTCACAGCCTCAACTCCATGGCTGACGGGGCAGCCTAGAGCACGACCACAAGATACGTGGGCATGTGACTAAGCTCACGAGCAGGGCCAGCGCTCACGGGGACCACGTCTTCCCAGCTGTGGGCCTCAGCTCCTTTTGTAGCTAGAATTCCACTACAAACCCAAATGTGGGGTTTCTACACTCCTGTGACCACACTTCACTAACACGCATGCTCAACAGGTCCACGTGAGAAGCATGCCACACCCGCCCGCTGCCCGGTGGTACCTGGGTGTCGTCAGTGTACTCCACCACGGGGAAGCCGTTGTGATTGGACGTGGTGCTGCTGAGCACGTCCACGATGACGCCCACTTTCTCCCTCCTCCGCAGGCAGGTGACCGGCGTGCTCATCACCTCCCTGTGGAGGAGCACATGCCTCGTCCGCTGTCTGTCACAGTGGCCACTTGCCCCTGGGGGATTCTGAGTGTTCTCTCTTCACAGCAAAGGTGAAGCTCAACAGGCACAAGTCCGTTGGACTCAGGAAACCCTAGGACGAGGGGGCTGGGAGCCCGCAGGGCCCCCACCCTGGGAGCTGCCCTGGAGAACCAGCCCTGGGCCGGCCGCCCACACAGCCGAGATGCCCGCACAGCATTTCCCCAGATGTCTGCACAGAGGCACGCGGCCTCTTTCCTGTGCCAGGCTGCTCGAGCCAAACCTCCTGGAGCATCCGCCACACCACTTGCCCCCATACCCCATCCTGAGCACGGGGAGGAAGCCCAGGCCGCAGGCCTTCAGCCTGAACCAAGATGGCCCGTGGTACCTGGCGGTGAGCGAGTGCGAGGTGACAGGTGCCTCCCAGTGCAGGAAGGGCACGCTCTGCAGCTGGATGTGCATGTCGTACAGGCCCTGAGGAGAGGGTGGGCTGGTGATGTGCTGGGCCTGCCACTGAGGGAGGGGGCCTGCCCTATGCCCGCCCACCGAGGCAAGGGGTCATCTGGAGGATGGCTTCACAGGGGCCCCTTTCCCTTCACACAGACGCCTGAAGCCCTACAGTCTCAGGCTCCGAGGCCAGGGGCGTGGGGAGGGGCCCAGAGCGAGGGCAAGGAGGGCAGGCAGCCCTGTCCCCACAAGCCGCACCTCGATGAAGACGTCCCCCACGATCTTGGCAGTCATCAGCACCAGCATGATGGGGAAGCCGTAGGTCACATTACTGGTGGCCTCCATCATGATGACCGTCAGGCTCAGCGTCATCCTCACGATCCCACCTGTCAGGGGAGAGAAGGGATGGGCTGGGGTGAGGCTGCGGTCATGGGCCTCTATGGGCCACCCCTCCACTCTCCCACTGCCTTGGTTCTCTGTGCAAGTCTGTGCCCCTGGCCATTCACCCCAGCGACCCTGTGTAGCCACACAGTGGGGTGAGGTGGCCCACTGGCCAATGACCACAGAAATGGAGTAAACAGGGACCAGCCTTGTGGCCGACTGGTTAAGTTTATGTGCTCCACTTCGGTGGCCCAGGGTTTCGCCAGTTCAAATCCTGGGCGTGGATATGGCACCACTCAAAGCCATGCTGAGGCGGCATCCTACATGCCATGGCTAGAAGGACCCACAACTAAAAATATACAACTATGTACAGGGGGGCTTTGGGACAAAAAGGAAAAATAAAATCTTAAAAAAAAAAACAAAAACAAATGGAGTGAACACCCGGCCTTCCTGTCCCGACAGGCAGGGGCGCCCCCTAATCTTAGGATGACCACACAGCAGCCAGGACTCACCCAGCTGGGCAGCCGCTCCCATCAGGGCATACTTGCCAGGGTCCGCCCAGATCTGCGGGATGACACAGAGGAGGCATCAGAGGGGGTGACAGGCCCCTGCTCAAACCCCAGATGCACTGACACCACTGGAGGCCACCGGCCCAGCAATTCCACAACTGGGAAGGAGTCCTGCAGTTCCCACACACGCCCCAGCACCATGTGCAGTAACACCCTAGGTGTGCCCACTCGGGGATGCACCCTGCCACCTGCACATGCTGGGGACCTTGCAGCAGGCGACAGGAGCAGACACTCTACAGACTGAGGAGGGAACAGCTGCAGGTGTGTGCAAGGAAGGCGGGCCGACACACGTGTCAGTGACTGCGGTTTGTGCAGAAACACCGGCACCACACAGGGCTGCGTGAGAAGTGAAAACCCTACACGTGCTCCCACCTGGACGAACCCTGAGAACAGGACACACAGAGGAGCTGCCACCAAAGACCACAACGTGTTCCTCTGCGGACACGAAACACCCAGAACAGGCAACTCCAGACAGAAAGCAGACTGGCGGCCACCAGGGGCTCGGGGGCACAGGAATGAGTGTGAAGGGGTGCAGGTTTCTCTCTGTTGACCAGAGGGTCCTGAACCTAGACAGCGATGATGGTTCCACGACCGCGTGGACCACTGGAGCAGCACCAAATGGTATGCTTTTAAAAAGGTGGATTTATGCTACATGAATCACATTCCACTCGAGAACACACAAACTGGTAGCAAAGGAACCCCGAGATGCGCCCGGAGCCTGGAGCAGGGGCGGGGGGAGGAACAGCAGGGGAGACTCACTGCACCCCTTCTTTGTTTTTAAAAATATCTTATTTGAATAAAGTGAAAAGAAGAAAATACATGGACGTGTGTCGCGCCACGTGGCCACAGGGGAGGGGGAGGCCGGGAAGGCAGCGTGGCGGGGCTGAGGCCTGGAGCACCGCACCTCGTCACCAGCTCCTGCACCCGGGCTCAAGTGCCCCCAGCCCCGACTCTGTGCATGGAGAAGCCCTACTCACCGCAGCCCCCGTGACGTAGGACAGGGATATGCCAAAGAGCCGGCCCCAGGCGGCCCCGATGAGCAGGGACGGGATGAAGACACCGGCGGACACCGTGAGCCCATAGGTCCAGCAAGCCAGGAAGAAGTAGACCAGGGTGAAGAGGCCAAGGGTCGCTGGGTTGTAGGAGCCTAGTGGAGAGGGAGCTGGCCAGGGCCTGCCTCATGGACTCACACCTGAGCAGGGCCAAACCGCCCAACTGCCCAGTCATGGCCTGCTGGTCACAGACACCCGGTGAGCCCCCAGAAGTCTCCGCATTCTGAGGCTAGAGCACAGGGCTTCAGAGGCAGGAGGATGGCCTCCTGGCACGTGGGGCAGAGAGCTGGGGGAGACAGGCCCCAGTGCCACCAGTGGGATGGTGGGACCTTCCACCAAGGGAAGGTGCCAACTGAGGTCTGTGCACATGGCTGGCACTGCAGTACAGACCACCAAAGCTCAGCGCAGGGAGGCCACCGGCCACCAGTCCACACCAGATGACTTCCAGACGCAGGAAGATGTCAATCAAACCCTGGAACCAACATGTCCAGGACCTGGTGCCTGTCCAGCGGCCCCGCTCAGCACCTTTCAAAAAGGGCTCAGCTTCGCCTCACACTTAAAAGCCTTTCTGTGAAATCTTATGGACTCCTGTCACATGCGCACAGAGGCCTGAGGACCAGGAAGCTCCTGGTGGCCTTGTGACAGGAAACAATTAGAGATAACCTAAAGGGTTCCAGACAGAAAAGGCAAAACAATGGCACAGAGCAGCTACAGGGTGGAAGACCGGAGGCAACTGCTCTGTTCCCAGATTCGTGCAGCGGGTGCCATCACAGGCCTGTGCTGCAGGGCCCCCTCTGGGCGCGGGGGAGGCGAGGCCCTGCCCGGGAGCAGCAGGATTGTGAACTGGAAGGTGCACCTTGAAAACCAGCAGTCTGCTCTCAGAGCCTGTCTTTAACTCAAAACGTGTGGCTGGCAAGGCCAGGAGCTGGTGAGTCACCACACCCGGTGTTCTGACCGGGAGTGACCCATGCAAGTAGCGCCCAGAAGGAAAACTCATCCTGGGAGACAAGGTCGTCTTAATAGAAGATGGAGACAGCCCCCGCGGCCCCTCCAGGAAGGGAAGGAGACGGCGTGGGGAGCCTGGCCAGGCCCCCTCCCTGGTGCTCGCCCCTAGCTGACTCCTGGCTGCCAGCCCCTGCGCACCACTGCACCCCACCCCCACAGCAAGGGCAGTGACCTCTGCCCACAGGGCACACTCAGCCAGAAGGGGTCACCCAGGCCAGAAGGGATGGGGACCAGGTAGCGACATGAGGCCAACAGTGCTATGCATGAGCACGCACCTGGGGGGTCGTGGAAAAGGCTGACCACACTCTTCTCTGGGGTGTTGAAGAAGGCTGCGGCCATGGAGTTATACTCGCCATCTGCACAGAAGAGCTGTGGGGTTGGGAAAGAAGATAGTCTGTGGGACGGGGCAGTCCCGGCCTGGACAGTACCAGCCAACAGCCACACAACAGGATGGGCCCAGCCTGCGGCCTCAGAGGCGAGGCAGGACGCAAAGAGCCCGTCCCAGGGACAGTGAGGGCTTCAGAAGCACGTCCAGCCCTGTAGGGGCTGGTCAACAGGACTCCTGGGCTGGACAGCTAGTCTGTCCCTGGGGCACATGGAGATCCCAGACCTTATACCACAAGCATGCTCCCAGAACCCAATGGTCAAACATCGGTGTCCTGGATGCCAGCAGGCCCAGCACCCTCCAGGCTGAGGAGAGCCATGGGCCCTGAGGCCACAGGTCATAGTAGGGACTGACCCCAAGCGAAGCTGGCCTTGTCAACCCCATGGCCTCACCAGAGCCAGCCCATGGGGGCCCCACACCTGCATCTTTCACAGCTTGTTTACATCTGTGCCCATCATCAGTCATTCTCTATCCCCATCCCCAGCCTCTGTCAATCACCAATCTGCATTTTGTCTCTAGGGATTTGCTGCTTCTGGACATTTCGCACAAACAGAATCATAGGCTACGGTGTCCTTCCTGTCTGGCTTTTCTCACTGAGCATCATGTTTTCGAGGTTCATCCGTGTTGTAGCGTGTGCCAGTGCTTCATTCCTTTTTATGGCTGAATAAGCCCACCTGTTTATCTGTCCGTTAGCTGATAGACAGCTGGGCTGCCTCCACTGTGGGCCACTGTGACTCGTGCTGTAGTGAGCACGCGTGCACAGGTTTTCATGCATATGCCAGTTTGCAACTCTCAGTCCACACCCACGAGCTCCCACTTCTGAAGGCCTCCCGCAGACCCCACCAGGGTGCTGCTCTGGGAGGAGGACTGGGCGGGACTCCACTCGACATAACACCTCATTCTCCTGGCACCTGGCAGGCTGCCTACCCCTGTCTGAAAACGCAGTGGGGGGGCCGGCGCTGCCCCTGCCCTGCCTGGTGGGTCCACCCATGGGGCTCAGGTGTCCTACCTGGAGGGGATAGGACACAGCACTGCCCTGCAGGGGCTGGCAATCCCGCGATGAGTAAATCAGCACGAAGGCAACCGTGGCTGTGACAGCGGCCACCAGCACGGCCTCAACCACCTGGAGGCAGGGCCGGTGGATGTACCTAGAGCAAAGAGCCGGGCTGGACCAGGCCACCCTGAGTCTGCGACCCCGTGAGAGCAGACTGCTGATCAGGAGGGCAACACAGCACGGCTACTCCTGAACATCCTCTGCCTGTCCTCAGGCGCTCTCCAACAGCATTTTGAGTTGGTGCAGGAGGACGAGGAGAATGAGAAGGAAGAAGAGCTTCTGCAAGCCCAGGAGCCGCCCCAAAGGTTTCAGAAAACCCAAGGGCTCCAATAACTGTGCTCCTCATGGCCCCATGCTGCCCGCAGGCAGACCAGGCTCAGGATGAGAGAGACCAGAAGGAGCTGAACTCAGGACAGGGAGGATGCATGGGGGTTTCCCCTGCCCAAAGAGCCACCCTTGAGGCCCCGCCTAGCCCGGCCCTGCCCACTCCCGGCCTCATGTACAAACCATCACGACAGATGCAGGGGGCAGCCCCACGGGTGCAGAGCCCACAACTCGTCTGTTTTCAAAGCCCCAGGGGCCACACGTGTCAACTCGATGCACAAAACAGAAGCTTCTCACCTGATTCGAAACATCGTCAGCCAGTAATTCAGGGCATTGAAGACGGCTCCAAGAACACCACCTACAACCGGGAAGAAGCTGTGTGTAAACGACATAAGGAAGAAAGGTGGAGGCTTTCCAGGCAGCACAGGGGACAGGAGGGGATGGTCTGTGAACCTCTCTGTCACCACATCCTGGCCGACAGACAGGCTTATTTCTCAAAGGCTAGGGCGAGGTTTCTCAGGGCAACAAACGCTGTCCAGAGCCAGTCGGGGTTTCGCCGATGGAAGTAAAGTTCCAGGCCTCCCCCAGGCTTGGGCTCCCTCCTTGGGGAGTGCAGCCCCGCCCTGGGTGGCCCTGGAACAGCAAGCAGAGTGTGGGGGCCGTGTCCCTCTCTGGCCACTTCAAAGCTGGGCCAGGCCTGGAGTACCGCGGGCCCAATCCCCACCACGTGCTTCGTTCCTGCTGGAAGGCGCCTGAGACTGTCTGGAAAGCAACGGCCCAGTGTGGGGCCGGGGCGGCTGGTGCGCTGCGTGGGGGCGGCCTTACCCACCACGCCCATGGCGATGAAGATAGGGACCTCGTGGATCGTGTACACCATCGTCTGTGTGGAGAGAGGGAGAGCGAGCGTTCCGAGGGACGATGTCCTCACACTCGGGACCATCTGCCCACTCGCACAGGAGCCTCCCAGCACTTTCCCACAGGCTGTGCAGGCCCCGCAGGGAACGCTGGGCGTGCGGAGCGGCTTGTACTCCTGCTTGCACGGCTGGTCAGGGAGGTGCTCGGAGGCCCTGTGAGGCTTTTGTCTTCCTGAGGCTTCAGCCAGATCTCCATCACCTCAGAAGGGTGGACGGCCTTTGGCTTTGGCCAAAGGAGGCCCATGGGGTGCATGACAGGGGGAAAACCCCCAGAACAGATCTTACGACCAGACCACCCAAGAGCCCCTATGCGTCTGTGCACGAGAACGGCCCTGGGAGTGGCGACGCCGGCCGGTGGGCCAGGCCTCCCTAGAAACGCATGCCTGTACCTCCTCACCCTCCATGAGCTGCTGCCCGAGCTCCCAGGTCCACCACACTCAGCGCTCTTGTCCCACAGTCCACACACGGCTGGGACACCCCTGGAGGCGCCCACTGGGGGACGGGTGTCCTAACCCGCACGGCCAGTCAGAAGCGCCCTTTCCTAGAGACCCTCCAGGCCTCTGGTGCTTCCAGATAAAAGTTCAGCCTCGCAGCTAAGAGGCAGAATCTTCCAAAATCCCAAGTTCTCAGGCTGAACCTTAAGTACACAGCTTTGGCCCTGCACTGAGAAAGAACCAGAAAGAGTGAGGGGGTACAACATGTTGGGTTACCTCTGTGTCAAATCTTCCAAAGTTGATGAGGCCCGGGCTGGACAGGTCCCATATGTTTCCATGGTAAATGCTGAGAACAAAATTCAGAGTGAAGGTGGAAATCATGGAGGCGAAGAACTGTGGGCAGAGAGGGAGATGGGGGCCATCAGAGCACGGCCACTGGGCCGAGGCACCGCGCCCAGCCAGCTGAGGCCCACCGCTGGGGAGGACAGGAGCTGGCGAGGGGCTGCAGGAGGAGGAGGAGCTGCCTCCCCTCCTGTCACTGGGGAGGCACCTGGAGACCCTCCAAAGGCTGAAGGGAAAGGGGCCAGGGCCTTGCTGGCTGGGTCCCCTCACCGCCAGGCCAGCCGGGTCACAGCCTGTTTTGGACGAGCATCAGGCCAAGCCAGTGACGGAGCCGAGGGAAGGAGGCACGTGGGGTTCCCAGTGAGGAGGGGGAGGAGAACAAGGGGGGACGACGTCCACAATGACAAGGGGATGGGCAGGCGGTAAGAGAATGGCCAACGCCTCAGGTCAAGTGAGGGGCAGAGCCTTAACGGACCCTGGGGGCATGGCTCCAACCACAGCTTGATGGACCCTCGCGTGAAGAGACCAAAGTTGGGGCCAAGAGCACAGCGTCTGCCCCAACACGGAGCCAGGCATCAGCGCAGCCTAGCAGGGAGAGGCAGCCGTCCACAGGCACTTACGATTCTCCACGTCAGGAACTGGTTCCAGAAGGAGGCGCCTTCTTCTAAGCTGAACAGGACGCCACCTGGAATGGCCAGCGGCCCAGCCCTGAAGTGCCCATCCAGGCCACGGGAACCCCAAACCCACTGCCACTTCATGCCCTCCGTCCCCAGGGCACTGGGACCATGTCAGAGGCAGTCCCCGGGGCCTCTCAGGGGGTACGCTCCACACCCTCGCCCACACACACCAAGACTACCCCTTCACACCGCGGGAGAGCAGCTTCCCCAACACGGCAGGCACGTCAGACCAAGCAGGACCGCCCTGCCCCTCCTCACCCACGGGGGCTCCAAACGCAGCGGACACTCCGGCCGCAGCTCCCGCCGAGACGAAGTCCCGCTTCTCCGTGTCTCTGCGGAAGTACTCGAAGATCTGAACCAGGAACAGATGGGGCAGAGGGTCTCAGCCAGCTTCTCCAAGGGCACTTCTCTCAGGAAGGGAAGAGGTCAGCTGGAGGCCGCGGAGACAGGCCGGGGAGGGGAGGGAAGGATTCACAGGGACTGCAGAAGGGCAGGGGGCAGCAACACCGTGAGAGCCGCCCTGCACACCAGCCACCACGGGAAAATGGGAAAGCACGCCACTCACAGCAGTAACTCAACTTCACGGTCTGTGCAAGAGCTAAATCAACAAACCCACAACGCCGCTGACAGACCTAATGAAGCCCAACGAACACAAAACTTCACTGTGTTCTTAACTTAAAGGAAAGGCTCTATACTGTAAAAACGTTAACTGTCTCTAAACCTATAAACTCAGTGCATACCCATCAGGATGCTGGGGGCTCTTTGGGGAAACGCAACAATCTTCTGAAGCGTATCGTGAAAACTGAGCATCTCCAACCTGCATGTGTCATTCCTGCCCTCTTTCTGGGTAGCTGAGTCCTTTGAGAAACTGTTTGTTTACAGCTACAGACCCTCCCCGCAGAAATGCACATCCACACCAAATACCCAGAAGCAGGCTGAGCGGACTCCTTAGTCAGGCCCTGGCAAAGCCCCCAGGACAGTTCGCTGGGGAGACCCTCAGATGCAATGTCAATGATGGGTCCCAGCAGAGCACGCCTGCACGGAGCAGGAGGGGCCCCAGCTCTCCAACGGGTGTCCTCGGTCACCCTCACAGTCGACATCCACATCAGGAGAGAGGACTCACCTTGAAATCTCGCTTCAGTGATGTTGACCTCCCCTGGGAGACTCCAGCAGCAATCACGGAGCCCGAGTGTATCATTGGCCCCTCCTACAAGGACAGGACAGCCGCACACAGGTGAGCGTGAGCTTGGAGAGAACAAACCGGCCTTGGGTCCCGCGTGGCACACAGAGGAACTCAGGCTAGGGCAGGGCCACACGCTCCACTACCTTTCCCACGGCCAGTCCTCCCACCACCGACAGGATCACGCCAGACACCTTGATCACCAGGGTCTGGAACACAAAGGAAAACATGCCAAGTGTCTGATGAAAGGCCACACACAGTCAAGGAAGCTGAGCAACAAAATGCCACACGTGGAGCCCAGCCTTGTGAGAACCAAAGAAGGTGCACAGGAGGGCAGCACATCCCAGTGGGCATCCATGGCGGCGGGATTCCAGCCCGTTCTTTCCTGCCTTCCTGTATCTTCAAACTCTCTATACTGAGTGGCTGCATGCAGTACGTACAGATGGCAGCCCTCGTGCCCCTCCTGACAGCCCAGGGGCATCTCCTCATCCAGCACTTGCTGCATCACTGCCCACCACCGGCTACCTAGTCTGGCTACCACAGGTCAGATGCCATTCCCACCACCTCTTCTGCCGCAGGGAACCTGGAGGCTGCTCTGCTCCCCTGGAGTGCATCCACCAGCCCCCCTGCCCCGACCCCGGGAGCACAGCCTCCCTAGGCAGGGGCAGGAAAGAAGCCACCAGCAAATCCCAGGCTGCGGCATGCTGACCACACACCTGAACATGAGCACAGGAGGAACTGTGACTTCCCAGCCCTCTAGGCATCAGGGTGTTCGAAAAGATTAAGGATAATAAGTATTAAGAAAGAGTTTGAGAAAAGGAAAAATGCCCTGAAGTTTATGACTCCAACACAGCTCTCCTCCTCGTGTGACGCCACTCACCAGACAGAATTCATGCACATCCTAGAGCTGAGATCAAACACACACACCAGTGAAGCATTTCTGCGTCACTCAACGTGGACAAGAGAAAGTCTGTACCACTTCCCAAAGAAAGTTTACATAAAATCCGTCAGCACATCCCTGCACGTGCTCAGCAGTGGCACACGAAACAGGCCTGGGCGGATGGCGGAGGGGAGGTGGGCACACAAAATGCTCCTAACTCAGCAAAGGAACCCCAAGCTGAGCACTGCGCTCCCACCAGAGGTCACCTCCACGCCTCACCTTGAGCCGGACCACGTGGGGGATCTTCACCCCATTGAGGAAGCACTTGATCTGGGGGATCCCACTGCCAGCAGCAACTGGCTGGAAGGAGAGGGAGGCAAGCACTGAGCTGAGCCATGCTGGGCAGCTGCCGCGGCCATGTAGGGCCCAGGACAGGGGACGGGCTGCCCAGAGAAGGGGCTTCTCGCTTCTCCCACCCCAGATGCAGAGCGACCCCCAGGGGGAGCGCACACTGTGGGATGTGGGAAGAGATGGAAGGAGGCCCAGTGTCCTCCAAGGGGGCAGGGTGAGGACACTGCAGGACAGACGGAAGGCATCTGTCACGCACCTGCTGAGAGAGACTGGAGCTCCCCGCTCCCTCTGAGGGGGCACCACACTGTACCCCAGAGAGAAGCTTCCAGATGCTGCCCCATCTTCCTTCCCACACCCCATGACAAGGAAGGAGCAAAGAAAGAGGCAGGCCATAGGAAGGGAGGCTTCTGGGAGAAGTCCTGGAGCAAAGGAGCACCCTAGGAGGGTCTGAGGCCGGGGGGAGACACGGGGCAGGGGGACAGGAGCGGCACCCCAAGGCTGGGGGTGAAGAGGCCCAGACGTGTTTGCTATTTTGACTCAACCGTTCAACATGGGCACCAGAGGGTTACCCTGCAGTCTGACCGCGGGAAGCTCACGGGCAGGAGCTGCAGGTGGGTGAGCTGGAGGGGTGCCCACCACCAAGGGGCCTCCCACCATGGCCTCCTCGTGGCTGCACATACCTCTATGAAGGCGACGATCACAGAGCCAACGAGCACAAAGGCAGCATTTAGCGCGGCCCACAGCACAAGGGACAAGGACAGCCCACCCTTCTCCGTGAACTTGTCGATATCTGGGGCTCATCAAGGACAACTGCAGCTTCCCCACTGCGGACTGTGCCCCCCGCCTGCGATGCCCTCGCGGCCTGGCCTCCTGGCCTGCAGCACTGGCCCAGGCATAAGCCCGCCCGAGAGCTTCACAGGCTGTGCGCTCACTGGACAGCCCAGAGACGTTTCACCGCCCAAGCAGGACAGAGCTGCAGCCCCTAGGCACGCCTCCCCCAACTGGACAGTGCCCCTGGGCCGCTCCATGCCACAGGACCACAAAGGATATTGTCCTTGACGACCTTGTATTTCAGGCCGGCCAAGTTCTCCACCACGATGTCAATGAAGCAGGCCACGAGGCCCGTGAGAATCCCGATCATGGCGCAGATGACCCAGCGCTTAATCTCCACTGTCCGGAAGGCCTGCAGGGCAAGGCGTCTGTCAGAAGAGGCTGCAGTGGTGAGACCTCCTGTCACAGGCCACTCTGGGGATGGTGTGACTGGCCCCTGGAATTCTGCTCATCGCCACCATGTGTGGCACGCTGCACTTGGGACCCCCGAGTCCTACAAAGGTGGCCTCTGGTCAAAGCCTCAGAGACAATGGAGCATCTGGGTGGGGGTGTGTGTGTACCTTCCCAACCAATTCATAATCAGCTGCTGACACTCTGGACACCACAGCTGACATCTCCAAGAACAGCCCTCTTAGTCATAACCACGTGACAGACAGTTTCCTGTACTGGGCGTTGGGCATCTCCTGCTCTAGGACACACACCATAATCTGAGGCACAGGGAGCGAGGAGGGGTGAGAGATGGAGGGGATGCATTGCTGCACCTGGCCCAGAGAGCAGCACCAGGCCAGCCCTTCGGTCACCAGGGCAGCCAAGAGTGGGGCACATGCCACAAGGACACTGCACTGTGGTCAAAGGCCTGGGGACGCCTCTGAGGCAGCAGTGTCTGGGCTGTCGGGCCCCAGACTCACCGTGTGGTTGATCCGCCTCTCCTCCTCCAGGAACAGCTGGTTCTCACTGTTGTCATAGTCCAAGCTCTGCAGACCAGGATAGCAGAGACAACACTGACCACTGACCCAATGTTCCAGGTTCATGGCGGGCAGCAGGTGGGGGTGTGGGGCTGGGGAGGGGATAAAGTGCTAGGGGCTGCATGGCGCGGGAACACAGAGGGAGGAGGCCCACCTCGTACTTGAGGGACAGGAGCTTCTCATTGTGCGGGATCTCCTTGGGGAAAGGGTGAGGGGGGTCCATGTCCTGCGGAAGGAAGAGGCTGTGACAACCCAGCACATTTATGAATGAAGCCCAGATGAGAAGAGGAGGGAGCACACACCCACTCATCCCACGAGGCTGGTCCTTTCCTGACCTCAAAGCCAGACAAGGACACCACAAGACAGGAAACTAACTACAGACACACACCCCGAGGAACAACACACAAAGTCCTCAATATGGGGCCAGAAGATGGGACCCTGCAACACCACAGCCAAGCTGGGTTTACCCCAGGAATGAAAGGTTGGTTTGACATCTGAAAATCCATTAATTCAAAATGTTTGTGGTACGATGGAAAGTATTTTATTGGTCTATGTACCAGGTCTGGCACACAGCTCCTAAAACCCTCAGCGTCTCTGGAGTAATGAGTGTCTTCTGTGCGTTAATGAGTTGGAGGTGGCTGGGGGCCCCTAGGTAGCTTCAGGATGGGGGCTGATCGCCAGGGGAACCGACCATGGGACTCAAGGGTTGGAACTTTCAGCCACGTCCCCAGACCTCTGACCTCTAGAGGGGAGAGAGGGTGGAGACAGAGCTAATCACCATAAAAACCCAAAATGAGAAGTTTTGGAGAGCTTCTGGACTGGTGACTACGGGAGGTGCTGGAGGCTGGTGCTCCCCGGCAGCATGGAAGCTCTGTGCCCCTCCCCACTCCTTCCCTGTGCATCTTTTCCATGTGCCATTACAGAGTCATATCCTTTACGACAAAGCAGTAAACATAAATAAAATGTCTCCCTGAGTTCTGTGAGCCATTGAGCAAATTATGAAACCTGAGGAGGGGGCAGTGGGAACCCCGATTTACAGCCAGTCGATCAGAGCACAGGTGACAACCTGGACTTGCGATGGTCTGAAGTGGGCGCAGTCTTGTGGGACTGACCCTTAACCTGTGGGGTCTGTGCTGACACCGAGTAGACGCTGTCAGAATAAACTGACTTGTAGGACACTCAGGTGGTGTCTGGAGAATCAGAGAATTAGCTGGTTATGAGGAAAAAACCAACAAACTGGTGTCAGAAGTGTTGTAAACACAAACAGTTCATGCCATTTCAATAACATAAAGGACAAAATCCAGACAATCATCTCAAGAGATACAGAAAAAGCATCTGACAAAATCCAACATCTCTTCATGATAAAAACACTCAATAAACCAGGAGTAGGAGGCTGCTCAACTTGATGAAGACATATACGAAAACCCACAGGCCACATCACCCTCGATGGTGAAAGACTGACGCTTCCCCCCAGGATCAGGAAGAAGAAAAGGACGCTCACTCTTACCACTGCTATTCAGCACCGCACTGCAGCTTCTACCAGGTCCATTAGGCAAGAAAATGAAACAAAGGGCATCAAGATGGAAAGGAAGAAGTGAAACTCTCTATGTGTAGATGACATGATCTAGTGTATAGAAAATCACCCAAAATACACTAAAAAAAACTACTAGAACTGATAAACGCATTCAGTAAAATTGAAGGATACGAGATCAATATACAAAAATCAAATGTATTTCTATGTACTTGCAATGAACTATCTGAAATGAAATTAAGAAAGCAGTTCTATCTACAAGAGCATCAAAAATAAAATATATAGGGGCTGGCCCCATGGCTGAATGGTTAAGTTCGCGAACTCCACTGCAGGCGGCCCAGTGTTTCGTTGGTTCGAATCCTGGGCGCGGACACGGCGCTGCTCATCAAGCCACGCTGAGGCAGTGTCCCACATACCACAACTAGAAGGACCCACAACTAAGAATATACAACTATGTACCGGGGGGCTTTGGGGAGAAAAAAGGAAAAAATAAAATCTTAAAAAAAAAATAAAACAAAATACATAAAATAAACTTTATTCCTAAAATACATTTAACAAGAGAAGTGTAAGACTTATACCCTGAAAACTATAAAACATCGTTGAAAATAACTGAAGACCTAAATAGATGGAAAGATATCCTGTGTTCATAGATTGGAAGACGTAATATTAAAATTCAAAGCAAGCCTTATCTAAATTCCAGCTGGTGTTGTTGAAGAAACTGACAAGCTGATCCTAAAATCCATGTGGAAAAGCAAGGGACCCTGAACAGTCAAAAAAACCTTGAAGAACAACAAAGTTGGAACCCTCACACTCACTCGTTACAAAACTTGCTACAAAGCTGCAGTCATCCAGACAGCGGGGCACTGGCACAAGGACAGACGGACAGCAGACAACTGAGAGCCCAGAAATAAACCCTCACATCTACAGCCAACTCATTTTCCACAAAGTGCCCGGACAATGCAATAGGGAAAGACCAGTCTTCTCAGGAAATGGTGCTGAGAAAACTGGATATCCACAATGCAAAATGACAAGGCTGGACTCGCATCTTAAAACATACACAGAATTCATGAAAAATGGGTCAAAGATCTAAATATATAAATCTCTTATAAGAAAGCATAGGACTGAATCTTTGTGACGTTGGGTCAGGCAATGGTTTCTTAGATATGACACCAAAAGCAGGAGCAACCAAAGCAAAAAACAGACGGGCTGAACTTCATCAGAGTGAAAAGCTTCCGTGCTTCAGAGGACACCGTCAGAAAGTGAGCAGAACACCCAGACCAGGAGACAGTCTCTGCCAATCGTGTATCTGATGAGCGATCTGTGTCCAGAACACACAAAGAACACTTATAATTCAACTATAAAAACATATGGTAACACGATTAAAAAAGGAGCACAGGATCTGAACAGACATTTCCCAAAGAAGACATCCAGTGGCCATCAGCACAGGCCAGATGCTCAACATCACCAGCCATCAGGGAAATGCAGATCAGAACCATGAGATGTCGGAGCAGGAAGTCAAAGACAAGTCTGGCGGAGGGCGCTCAGGAAACGTTTCCCTGGCAGCTGCTGGACAGTCCAGCCCCAGCACAGGGGCAGGGGAAGAGGACATCACTGCTCTCCAAGGGCCCCCCACCCTGAGATGCCCACTTCCACCCAGCCCCAAGAGCCCTCCTCCAGCCCACTGGGGCCCCTGCTACCCCTGGCACCTCCCCCCTCCGCCCCCGGCCTGCTTCCTGCACCTCCACACAGCATGCTTGGTGTACCTTGCCTAACACACACTTCCCCCATCTCTGCTTGTCTGGCTCGGCCTCAGGGGACACAGCCCCTTGGAGCAGCCTTCCCTGGCTCTGGGGGCTCCATGTCTGCTCATCATTCTGTCCCCGAGCCCTGCATGGCCCATGTCAGTCCCTGAGCTCAGCAATGTCTACATTCGTCCCTGAGCTCTGCTGGGCCCACCCACGGTCCGGCAGCCTCTTGCTTGGCGTTACTGTCTGCTGTCTGCTAGGCTGCAGCTCCACCAGCGCAGACTTCTGCTCCCTGGGAACAAGCCTGGCACACAGTGGGCGCTCCATGAATGGGGAATAACTACCACTCACAGGGTCCAGAAGCTCATCATCCAGCTCCACGTTGCTCATCTGTCCAATCCGGAAAAACGTGGAATGGGGCGACTAGAAGCAGAAGAGAAATCACAGGGCTGAGCTGCGACGTAAGAAATCACTTAGCCACAGGGCTGTGCTGCTCTCTGCATGCCCACGCCACCCGGCCTCACCCAAGGACACAGACCCCCAGATGCCATGAGGGGGACCCCAGCGCAGGGCCAACGCTGGATCCCCAGGCCTGCCCTCACCACCCACAGCCTGTCATCAAATAGTCCAGCCCCCAGCTCCGAAGCCCAGGCCTTCCCCACCACCGAGGGCTGTCCTCCCCTGTTCTGCAGCGCTTCAGAGACTGGAGATGAAACACTTGCCAGCCACCAGAACCCCGGGCTGCAGGACCACACCAGTGTCCTCCCAGGTACCCCACCCCAAGCCTAGAAAATCTAGGTGGTCCATGGCCCCTCCTCCAGGAGTCTTTCTGTCCCCTGCCCCCCAGCTCCCAGTTCTGTGCATCCCCCATCATGAGACTGAGTGGCTCTGCCAGGGGGGACCTGTCACAGGCCTCCAGACACACAGTCAGAAGTGCCTCCTCGCCCAGGGCAGGGGACCCAGGACCCTCCCTCTCTAAAGTAGGGCTGTGCTCCCAGGCCCAGGGGGCAGGTCAACCACAGAGGACAGACAAATCAGGCGCGTGACTTCTCTTATGCACACTGCAGGCCAAGACTAGGGGAAAAAACACAAGTACCAGTTACACGTGCATTTCAGAGAAACAAGTCATGTGTTAGCCTAAGTACGTCTTAAATACCGTGCGGAACACACTTGTATTAAAACATTATTCAGTGCTGGCCTGGTGGCACAGAAGTTAAGTTTGCACGTTCCACTTCGGCGGCCCAGGGCTCGAAGGTTCGGATCCCGGGTGTGGACATGGCACCACTTGTCAAGCCATGCTGTGGTAGGCGTCCCACATATAAAGTAGAGGAAGATGGGTATGGATGTTAGCTCAGGGCCAGTCTTCCTCAGCAAAAAGAGGAGGATTGGTAGCACATGTTAGCTCAGGGCTAATCTTCCTCACAAAAAAAACCCCAAACCATTATTCACCGTTTCTCTGAAATGCAAATGCAGCTGGGCGCCCTGCATTTTCTCTGGCAGTCCTACACGCAGTGGAGAACCATGCAGCAACGACAGGAACAAACCACTGCTGACAGCATGATAGGCCCGAGGAGCACCAGGCCAGAGAGCTACCGGGATTCCACCACAGGAAGTGGAAGGTCAGGTGGTGGTGGTTACAGGGTGGGGGCTGGGGGAGACAGTAAAAGCGAGCAGCACCAGGGGGCTTTGGGGATGCTGGCCGACTCTGTTGGGGGGAGTCTGAGTCTTCTGGGGCTGCTGTAACCAATTCCCACAGCCTCGGTGGCTTAAAATAGCAAAAATTCGTTCTCTCCCAGCTCTGGAGGCCAGAAGTCCAATTTCAAGGTGTCGGCCAGCAGTGCTCCCTCTCAAAGGTACGAGGAGGCTCCTTCCTGCCTCTCCCAGCTTCTGATGGCATTGGCGATCCTCAGCATTCCCTGGCAACACCATCTCTGCTTCGGTCATCACGCGGCCTCCTCCCTCCGAGTGTGCCTGTGTCCAAATGTCCCTCCCCTGATGAGGACACCACCCTGCGCCAGCCCGACCTCATCTTAACGTGACCACATCTGCAAAGATCCTATTTCCATACAGGGACCATACACAGGTTCCAGGGTCAGGAGGGGACAGACACATCTTCTAGGGGGCCACCATCACCCCGCAACAGGTGGTAACGAGGGGGTGCATGTTCACATGACAACTGTCAGGCTCCACTCGCATGACTGTGCACTTCTCTCGACATACACATGGTAAACGTCCGCAAAACAGGTGATTAATGAGAGAAACACAGCTGTTTCCTCTTTCAAAAACAACTGACAATGCCCCCAACTGCTGAATCCAGTGAGAAAGGCAGGGTGGGGGGCCTAGGAAGGGATCCCAGTTCTTGAGTGCAACTCTGATCAGGAAGTGGCCCAGGGCTGGCTGCAGCCCCTGCTCCCCAGACAGGACACTGTGATCAGGAAGGGGCACCAGAAGCAAAGCTGGCCACAGAACACCAAATGCGCTTCCTCGGGGACAGCTCCAAACACACAGACCGGCCAGGCAGGCAGGGTGCAAAGATGGACACACACGGCTGAGCAACAGCAAGAGAGTCCAAATGTGAAAGGAAAACGGGAATATCGATTTGGTGTCCGACCTGACGGACAGAGCCCACAGAAAAAGGCAGCCTGGCATTTTATCCTACTCATCACTGATCACGAGAGAAGCTCAACCACATCAGGCAGTCTCCCAATGCACCAAGGCAGCCCAGAGTCGGACCCCAGAAAGCATCTCCTCTGACACCCAAACAGTGTCTGCGGGCCAGGCTGCACCCTGCACATCACCTCAGGAAGAGGCGGGCAGACAAGGTCTCAAGGGGCAAGCAGTGGTGACAACAGGTCCTCAGCACGTGGCTGGGAAGAGGCCAGGTGAGCACAGCGGTCTGCACTGAGAGAGCACTGTTTTGGACGGCACCCACAGGGAGATGGAGGCTGGCGGTGGGCAGGGCTAAGCTCTGGCCACGCCCCCCCATGGCTGCCCTCGACTGGGCCCTCACTCACCCTCCTCCAGCACCTTTGTGTATCTTCTTTTTTTTTTCCTGAGGAAGATTGCCTGAGCTAACATCCATTGCCAATCTTCCTCTTTTTTTATTTTGATGTAGGCCCCCACCACAGCATGGCTGCTAACAGAGAAGTGTAGGTCCACTCAGGCCACCAAGTGGAGCCCACCAACCTTAACCACTAGGCCACTGGGGCTGGCCCTCTATCATCTCTTTTCTCAACTTGATGAGCATCTTTTAGGAAATGTCTTTTGTGATGAAAAAGCCATTTACTTGCAGTTCAACCACATATTTAGTGTTGTGTCTATTCCTTTCTCTTTTTTTTTTTTTTGAGGAAGACTAGCCCTGAGCTAACATCTCCCACCAATCCTTTTATTTTCTTTTGAGGAAGATTAGCCTTGAGCTAAGTACTGCCAATCCTCCTCTTTTTGCTGAGGAAGACTGGCCCTGAGCTAACATCCATGCCCATCTTCCTCTACTTTTATATGTGGGATGCCTACCACAGCATGGCTTTTGCCAAGCGGTGCCATGTCCACAGCCGGGATCCAAACCAGTGAAACCCGGGCTGCCGAGAAGCGAAACGTGTGAACTTAACTGCTGTGCCACCGGGCCGGCCTTCAATCCTCCTCTTTTTGCTAAGGAAGACTGGCCCTGAACTAACATCCATGCCAATCTTCCTCTGTTTTATATATGGGTCGCATACCATAGCATGGCTTGACAAGTGGTACATAGGTCTGCGCCTGGGATCCGAACCAGTGAACCCCACACTGCCAAAGAGGAACATGCAAACTTAACCACTGCGCCACGGGGCCAGCCCCTCCTTTCTTTTCTTAAATGCAAGTGAAATTAAATACTAGTTGGTCCTCAAACTACTGATATGCACAACAGCCCGGATGAAATCTCCAGGGTGGGATGCTGAGTGAAAGCAGTCAATCCCAAAGATCACACACTATACGGTTCCACCAACCCGATATCAACACATCAGACCTGGAGGGATGAGCGCAGACCTGATGAGGGGGTGTGACTACGAGAGGCAGGATGCGGGAAATCCTGGAGGTGATGGACATGCTCTGTGTGTTGACTGCAGCGGTGCTCACAAAGATCTATACACGTGACATGACAGCAGAGAACTACACACACACGTGCGTGCACATTATGCCAACATCAGTGCCCAGTTTCAGCAGTGTGCTGTTCCATAAGATGGAACCACTGGAAGAAACTGGGGGTGGTACACAGGTCCTCTCTGGACTGTCTTTCAACCTCCTGTACATCCATAACCATTAAAAAAATTTACAACAGTTATACGCAGATAGGACTACGTCAAACTGAAGAACTTTTGTGCATCAAAGGAAACAATGAGAGTGAAGAGGCAACCTACAAAATGGGAGAAGATATTTACAAAGCAAGTATCTGATAAGGGGTTAATATCCAGGATACATAGAGAACTCCTACAACTCAACAACGAAAAAACAAACCGGCTCAAAAATGGGCAAAGGACTTGAATAAACACCCCTCCAAAGAATACACACAAATGGCCCAAGCGCATAAAAACACCACTGATCATTAGAGAAATGCAGATCAAAACCACAACCAGACAGCACCTCACACCTGTGAGCACGGTCAGAATCAACAAGTGTCGACGAGGATGTGGAGAATGTGGAACCCTGTGCACTGTTGGTGGGAATGTAAAACGGTGCAGCTGCCGTGGAACACAGTATGGTGGTTCCTCAAAATATTAAAAATAGAACTACCATACAATCCAGCAATCCCACCTCTGGATACAGACCCAAAGAATTGAAAGTAGGATCTCGAGGAGCTATTTGTACACCATGTTCACGGCAGCATTATTCACAAATAGCCAAGAGGTGGAAGCAACTCAAGTGTCCACTGATGGATGAATGAACAAACATAGCATGGTCTTTCCATACAATGGAATATTATTTGGTCTTAAAAAGGAAGGAAATTCTGCAGTATGCTACAACATGGATGAACCTTGAGGACATCACATAGTAAAAGAAAGAAGCCAGTTGCAAAAAACAAATTCTGTACGATTTCATTTATATGAGGTTCCTAGAGTAGTCAAAATTATAGAGACAAGAAGTAGTGCGGCCAGCCCGGTGGCACAGTGGTTAAGTTCGTGCACTCTGCTTTGGCAGCCTGGGGTTCGCAGGTTCAGATCCCAGATGCAGACCTAGCACTGCTCGTCAAGCCACACTGTGGCGGCATCCCACATAAAATAGAGGAAGATTGGCACACATGTACCTCAGGGTCAATCTTCCTCACAAAAAAAAAAAAAAGAAGAAGAAGTAGTAGATGGGTGGTTTCCAGGAGCCAGGGGAGGGGGGATGGGGTGTGAGTGTTTAATGGGGAAAGAGTTTCAGTTTTGCAAGATGCAGACAGTTCTGTGGGTGGATGGTGATGATGGTTGCACAACAATGTAAATGTATGTAACACTGCTGAACCATACGCTTAGAAATGGTTATGATGATAAACTTCATAATACGTTTTTACCACAATTAAGACAAATTTTAAAGACAACAAAGGCCATTTGCCATCCCAGTCTGCTGCTCTGCATTTTGACACCTGCCAGGCTCCACGCTCAGCACTGAGGACACAGGGCTGCCGCTGGCAGAGGCTTACAGTGAAAGGGAACAAGCTGCCATGAACGATGCAGCATAAACTGTGAGAAAGGCTCCCGGGGTGCCGACAGGGACCCAGAGGGAGCAGTCTGCACCAGATCGGATGGACCAGGAGGAGCATTTAGGCTGAGTCTGAGGGCCAAGAAGGAGCAGACCAAGATGTGCAGAGGCAGGCAGACGGCACCGGAATCATCCCGGATGGGAACAGCCCCACTGCAGCCTCTGCCTGGTGGCTTCCCAGGATCCTCTGACGAGGTCTGGGCCCACTCCTGTTCCTCAGCTCCCTGCACTGTCCGGCCGTGCCTATGTCCTCCGCGGCCTCCCCAGACTGTGAGCTTGCTAAGGGCGGTGGCTGTGTCCCACTCACACTGGCCCTGGACAGGTGCTACTGAAGGCATGAGGGAGACAGGTTCAAGGAGCCCTCGGGAGGGAGCCAGGACAGCCGGCCTGGATCCTACAAAGTGGGGCTGGGGGTGGGTGCATGGAGAGGGAGGAAGACAGGACGATGAGGACAAGGAGGCAGAGGGACTTCTTGGAGGGGCTGCCCCTTGGGCTGGGAGACACCTAGGAGAAAGACAGGGTGCTCACTTACGTGGAGCAGAGCTCAAGGAGCGGGTGGGGACGACAGATGACCCCCCCCACACCTTCCCTGCAACCCCCTCCCTGGCACTCTCAGATTGTGCTCTATAGCTCTGGGTCACGAGGGCATGACACAGTCCCAAGGGGTAACCCTAGTTCCCAGAGAATCCAGATCCCCAGAACCGATTCTAAACACTAACCTGAGAGTCCTACCCCACTAGGTGTCTCAGCGGGAGCTTCCTGAAGCCGAGGTCCCTGGAAAGGTCATGCATTTACAAACCCTGCAAACACCGCCCCCCACCCCTCCCCAACCCCTGGGGCATCTGATTCTGGCTCAGATTTCCCTCTATAAGTTCTCAAAACGCTCCACTTCCCACTCACATGACTGTGACCTGCTGGCTGACCTCACCCTCTCCTTGTCCCAGCAGTGGATGGGCAGCAACTCGCTGGGTAACTCACCATCACCCCACACTCGGCCATGATGGGCCCAGAGGCCTGAGAAAGGAAACAGCAACCCACAGGTGGCTCTGAATGGTCCGGTCCTGTCCCTCCACCCTGCCAGGGCTGTGCCTGCTCCCCGCTGGGCACTTAGAAGCTCTGCCCCGAGCAGCTACCTCAGGTGCTTGGCAGGCTATGCTCGTGCCACAGTGGGAACGACACCAACTCTGGACGTCCCACAGCTGCAAAGGGCCAGGAGGCAGCCAGGCAAAGCTCTCACGTCCAGTTCACCAGAACATTCCCGTAGGGCGGTTGCTGGCCTGGGCCGTCATTTTAGTCCAAAAGGCCCTGGACTGAGAGCAGCTCACAAGCTGCCATCTGCTGGAGTACTAGGTGCCCCCGAGCCTAACCACGAACTCAGCCCACTGGTCACCAAGAAAGCCAGCATCAAGGAAGTCAGTCACTGCCAAGGGAGGTGCACGCGAGTGACGACCCATCCCTTTAGTGCGGCTGTTTCTGACACTGCCTGTGACAAGCCCTGTGCCCACTGCTGCACGCAGACGAACTCTGGCAGGCGAGGACTCTGAGGCACAGGAGGCTGTGGAACGCGTCCTCGCTGGTCCAGAGCGCTGTTCCTGGCACAAATGCCTCGAGTCCCCCTCTTCCCACCCGTTCACACCAGGCAGGCTGAGGACCCTCTAAGACTGAAATCTCCATCTTCCTGCAGCACTCTCCACAAGGTGAAGCCCAATCAAAGCCAGCAGCGGTCCCCTGCAGGTCTGACCCCAGCTCTTCCCCCAACCTCCACGCCCACTCCAATTTACCTTCCAAACTGCTGCAGGGTCCCAAACACACACTCCTTTATCCTTTCCCATCTGTCTGCCTGCCTGAGGCTCTCACACTGTTCAAGACCAGATCCAAAAGAGACCTCTCCTGCCCTCGGGGCCCCTCACACAGTCCTCCCGGAGCACTGGGCCTGTTTCTCCAGGAGCCTGGAGCCAGCAGGAAGGAAGCTGCTTCATGCACCTCTGTGTCCCAGGCAAACCGCAGGCACCTGGGCACATAGTAGGTGCTCAATAAATTATCTTTTTAATTGTTTAAGAGCAACTAATCAGTTGTTATCAAATGCAAACAAACAAAAAAGCTTGCAAAGATTTTTCTGAGAGATCAACAGGCTCTTCCCCAAAAAGCCAACTCCTGTACCTATTTGCAAAGAGAAGTGGGGAACCCTGAGCACGCTCAGTCCTGAGATAAACCCAAACTCAGCCTCAAAGTTTCCAATCTCTTTACCCACCAAGTCTTAAAGGCTGTTTCACACTTCTATGTTGTAGACTTCAGATTACTTTCTTTTAAAAGAGAAAAAACCAACAGAAACGTTCCAAGAAGAAAATAACGAATCAACCACATCCCTACCACCTCAGATGAGCCGCTTCAGAGCACTTCCGTGCAGACACGGAAAGCATTTCAGCAGATTTCACTCCAAGGGCAGACTTCGACGCTCACCCTCTGATCCATTTCCCATGGACCAGGAAACCTAAAGATAAGTTCTAGAGAAACAGCCTGATGATCGTGTCCCTCCTAATCTTTAAACGTTACACAAGTGCTTCAAGGACCAATCTAGAACAGGAGGAGGAAAAGCAAAGAATAATGACAAACCAGAATGAGACCAAGCAATCAACAAAAATAACGCATTCACTCAAAATTAAACAACACGCAGAAATTCATTTAAAGACACATACTGCATTTGCTCAAGCGCTGAGCACATTCCACCCCCTCTGACTTGTGGCAAAGTGGCTGCTACGTGCTCCAAATTCAATTAACTGCTAATGGAAACAGTGCAGACACTTGTCATTCCTAAGACGGTGGGCAAGTCTGTGCTGATCCCTGTAGAGAAGGGTGGCAGACAGCTTCTCAGTTACTCTCACTGCAAGGAAAAATTCTACCTCAACTGTTAAAACCTCCTGGGGGTTCAAAATACGACCGAACTGAAATAGTTACTCATGGAATTATCACCATTTTGGGGGTGGGGGGCGAGGCAGACAAAGGTCACCTGAGCAGAACACCATGTGCCTTCCCTTTAAAGCCATTTAGGAGTAAAATAATGAGCTTCATGCCGTCAAGGGCACACTCGACAAAGTGCCAGTCGGCTCATCGGCTCATAAAACACCCAGCGTGATGGCGACCTCGGCCGGCTCCTCAGACCCCGCCTGTCACCGGGCCCGGAGCTTCCTCCCTGGACTCCAGAACCCGGGGCCTAGGGACCAACCCAGCTCTGCCGTCCGCCCGGTGAGACCCGGGGCCCCGTCCCGTCCCGACCCGGCCCGCGGCTCGATTCCCCGTCCGTACGACGGCGAGGATGCGCGCACCGCCCGGGCCGCCCAGCGACCCAGACCCCGACTCGCTCGGCCGCGGCGAGCCCGGAGCCAGCAGCCGGAGCCTGCGGCGCGGCCCGGGGCGGCCCAGGCCTTTGCGCCCCGCCGTCCCGGCCCGCGCGGGGCCCGAGGTCGCGCCAGCGCCGGCCGGCGGCGCGAGGCCTCAGTTTCCCCGGGGCTCCCCGCGGGCCGCCTCACCTGGCGGACGGCCGCGGGCCCCGCGCCGTTCAGCAGCGGCGTGCCCTCGCCGGCCGGAGCCCCGGGCCGCGCCGCCCTCCGCAGCAGCGGCGCCGCCTCGTCGTCGTCCAGGTCGCGGCCGGACCATGACACCTTCTTGGAGACGTTGGCCATGGCCCGCCGCGCAGGGACCGGCCGGGAAGCGCCGCGGCCGGGTGTTTGCTCTCGTGACCCGCGCCGCGGCCACGTGATCCAGGCGGCCGCCACGTGACCCCAGACGGCGGCCGGGAGGTCGCCAAGAGCGCGGGGCCTTCTGGGAGTTGTAGTCCGACCGCCCAGCGCGGACTCGGGGGTGGCAGCGGGCTCCGCAGCGTCTGTGAACAGAGAGAAGGACGCGCCCTGAGTCTGGTGCTCGCAGGAGTCTCTCCACACACCCGATCTGTCATGACAGGAATGGAAAGAACCCAGGAGTCCACACTGAGACAGGGGTAGCTCGTTGCAGTAGATAATAAATAAGTGGGGAAGCTAGCTAATAAATGTGGAAGGAAGGATAGAGTTAGACACGTCACCGTGTTGCCACCGCCTAGCAACAACTGATTCAGGCAAGAATCATTAACGCAAGCTAAAGCTACTTGGCTAAGGTTTGTTGGGAAACGGAATGTGTCCGCAGTCTCACAGTATCTTCTTCAGATTACTTAGGATGAGGAGGGAAAAGAAATGTGTAAGAAATCTGCTATGAGACATCGCACCCTCCACCTGAACCAGGGACAAGCTTAGCATCCCCCGGGGGCACAGGCTGTGTGAAAAACAAGACAAGAGGCCCAAAACGAGTCATTTACACTAAGCCCCACGTCAGCAAGCTGAGACTTAATGACAGTTTCGGCTCTCCCAGGGCTGGAATCTTAAACTAGTCAACCAGGCATGACCTGGTCAGCACTAGGGAGGTCAGCTGCCTGACAGATACTTCCCCTCCCCTAAAGGAAGGGGGACCTTGCCACAACCAATCCGCTTTTTGCTTGTATACCTTCCTTTTCCCGCTCCCCCCTGCCTATAAAGGTCTTTGGTTTTGTACAGCTCCTCGCAGCTGCTTTCTGTCTGCTAGATGGGATGCTGCCCGACTCATGAGTCATTGAAAAAAGCCAGTAAAATCTTTAAAATTTACTCAGTTGAATTTTACTTTTTAACAGCTGGCCTCCTCACGGGCCTGCAGACGCGTTGCGCTGAGGCCACAACTTCACTCCTGCGGCGTTCCTGCAGAAGGGGCTTCCCGGAGTCCCCTCATAAGGGGAAAAAATCAGATAAACCCAAACTGAGGGACGCTTGCTAAACAGCTAGGTGGCTCTGTTCCGTAGTATCCGCGTTGTGACAGACAAAGAAAGGCCAAGGAACTGCCCTCGATGACGGGAGATTAAAGAAACGGGACAACTGAGGGCTCCTCGTGGCTCTGGCGTCAGTGGGCCAAGTGGTGAAGACCGGATCCACGCTGAGCATCCGGTCGTAGGAGAGGCGCACCGTTCAGTCCCCCATGTGATCATGGTCCTGCGGTCGTACTCAAAAAGGTCCTTGTTCTCGGAAAGACGTTCTGAACTCTGTAGGGGAATGGGCTGGGACCTCATGTCTGCAACTTAGTTGCAAATGATTCACGAGCGAATAGTGATTGTAGCCACTCATACGGAGAGAAGACGATGCGGTAAAACAGTCTCACTTGACGAACCTACAATAAATACACATGATACGCAATGTTTTCATCTTGCAACTTTTCTTTTAGATTGGAAACTTTAAAATAAAAAGATTTTAGAAGCTCTTTAGAGGCTCTGAGGCTGAGAAGATAATAGAGCCCCTCCCGGCACATAATTCAAAATAAAACCAAAACTAAAACCAAAATAAGAGGAAGGAAGCCCTACAGGTTTTGAATTTTCCCCACGATTACTGCGCAATGCTTTTTTTGGAAATACTGAGAACAACATTCTTTCAAGAAAGGTGTTTTCTCATGAGTGTGACCTGGAGGTGCCCTTTCGAGTGATGGTGACAAGAGCGTGATGACCCCGGTCTGTGGACGAGGGTGTGGCGTGAAGACGGCAGGCACAGCCCTGAGGAGCAGACAGGGCTTGGACCCGGGCTGGTTTGATGAAGAGAGTGGCCGAGTGGGGTTCATGTGAGGACATGCAGGCAGAAAGCTGAGCACAGAGATGGGAAGTGAGGAGAACAGGCCCTGGGACAAAAGGGTTGTGCTAGGGAGGGCAGGCCATCTCTGTGGCCAGGCAGGGCAGGGCTGGGCCCGAAGGCCATCCCTGTCAGATGGACAGGGGCCTGAACTTGTCCTTCTTCTGGACAAGTGGCTCCGTCAGAGGACGAATGGGCCAGGCCAGGGTGGGCAGGGCGGGGGAAGGGAGAAAACGGCCCAGCTGCCTGTCAGGTCCCAGGTCCCACAGCAGCAGGAGGGCATCTCTGGGTCATTTTGTCCTCCTTCGCCAGAAGTGCAACTGACTCAGGACAAAGGGCGGATTTGAGGCCATTGCTCACAGTTCAAAATGCATGTGTGACTTTGTTGCTAACCCCACGCGGATGGCGGATCACATGAGATGCGTGTTCAGACTTCCCTGCCCCAAGACCTGGACAGGCTTCCCTTGTCCTGCCCGATGGAGCCCAGACTCCTCAGCTGGACAGGCTGGCTCTTCCCAAATTCCCAGCGACCTGAGCTGCCACCAACATGTCTCACTCCCGGCTCCAAGCCCCTGCCCAGGCTCTCCACCCTCCTGGAGGGCCCCCTCCCCAGGAAGCATCCCGAATGCAGCAGCCCAGTGCAGGCCACCCCTGCTGAATTCCCATAGCTCTAGGGTCTGCGGCCACGGAGCAGAACGCTGCTGTGAGCAGTGGAATGTCCTGGGTGCCCACGGTGTTTGTTATAAGCACCGGAAAATAGGAGAGGGGTGGGAAATTATGCTCTGCATCATTTTTTTATTCTGCGGATCTGCGTCCCTCGAGAAATACTAACAGAATTACCAGTCTTCCCAAAAGAAAGCTGTCATAGAAGCAAGAGCTCCAGAAAGGCCAGAGGAGCCTGGGAAAGGAAAGACTTGAGAGGGGGCGGCTGTCCCTGAAGACGGATGTGTCCCGGGGAAGAGCAGGGGAAGCAGAAGCCAGTGATTCAGGGCCTTCACGTGGCACTTACGGGAGTTCCGTTCTAGAATGCCTCCTCTGACCTTGATGTTTAGACCAGTGGGCGGTGTTGGGGGAGGCTGCTGGGCCTGAGTCTTTGAGCAGAAGGCCTGGAGTTGCTCCCAGCTCTTTAGAGACCTCAGGGACTAATTTTTTTTTTTTTTTTTTTGAGGAAGATTAGTCCTGAGCTAACATCTTCTGCCAATCCTCCTCTTTTTGCTGAGGAAGACTGGCCCTGAGCTCACATCCTTGCCCATCTTCCTCTACTTTATATGTGGGATGCCTACCACAGCATGGTTTGACAAGTGGTGCCATGTCTGCATGCGGGATCCGAACCAGCGAACCCCAGGCCGCCAAAGTGGAATGTGAGCACTTAACCGCTGCACCACCGGGCCGGTCCCCCCAGGGACTAATTTAGAGCACCTCCCTCACCGAGGTGCTGTGCAGAGCTGTGCCTGCCCACCACCTCCTCCTGGTGAAGCCTCTGCAGAGCTGAAACCAGGGCCCCTCGGAGTTCAGCTGGGGCAGGGCCTGGCACTTCTCTAGGTTGTTTCCTCATTTTTACAATGAGTTGGAGTAGGTGAATTCTAAGAACTGGGCCTGTTTCCAAACTCGCTGATTCTGAGCCTCTCCCACTGGTGAAGGGGCTTCCCCACTGACCCCACCACTCCCCACACCACTGCTCTTTTTTCCTATCTGCACCAGTTCACTTTCTCGTTCTGCAATCTTGGTTCTGGGTCTCCTTTGGGAAGCTCCAATATTTGAGGGGTTAATTTACATCACACTGAAACTTAAAGTAAACCACGCCTGTTCTAATTGGTAATGCTTGTTTTTTTATGTGTGCCACAATTCAGAATTCTGAAAAAAAAAAAAGAAAACTTGTTGAAAAGACAGATGATATTAAGTGTTGGCAGGAATGTCGCTGGTGCGAATGTAGCATGATGCAGCCCCTTTGGAAACCAGTTTGGTGGTTTCTTTGAAGGTTTAGACATGAATTTACCACATGACTCGGCAATTCTACTCCTAGGTATGCACTCAAGAGAAATAAAAACATATGCAGACACAAGGACTCATGAGAATGCTCATAGCAGCTCTATTCACCATGGGCAAAAACTGGAAACAGCCCAAATCTCCACCAGTGATGAACAGATAAACAAAACGTGGTCCATTCCCACAGAATGCCGTCCAGCCCCACAGAGGAGGGAAACACTGGCACGGGCTGCAAGGGGAACGAACCCGGAAACCATGATGCTGCGTGAAAGAAGCCAGACGCCAGAGACCAGAGTGTATGATTCCATATTTATGTGAAATGTCCAGAACAGGCAAATTCACAGAGACAGAGAGCAGATCAGTGGTTTCCAGGGGCTGGGGGCTGGGGTGGGGACAGGAGTAACCGACAACAGCCATGATTTTTTTGGGGCGGGGCAACGGAAATGTTCTAAAACTGGATTGTGGTGACGGTTGCACAACTTGGTAAATTTACGAAAAGTCTTTGAACTGTTCCCTCACAATGGGTGACTTTACAGGATGTAAATCGCACCCTAGGGCCCTGCCATCGAAGCACTGCCTGCCCATCGTTAACCTCGGAAGAGCTTGCTCCCTTTGCAGGTACCCCCTTCCTGGCAGCTCTGGTAGCTTCACCAGCCCCCACAGGACCTTGAGGAACCCCCAGGGCTACTGGCAAAGGGGGGGCTGTAGTTTTGGGGGCCAGGAAATGGATTCTCTGGCCCTTTTCATGAGAGATGTTGGAACAAGGATCACCCAGAGGGAAACTTGCATAAGCCACCTTGAGAGAGGGCGATGGCCGTGCAAACGCCACCCATCAGTTTCAAGGAAAAGGGAGTTCTCCAGGAAGTAGCCTGAAACCGAAGCAGACCCACACCCCAGAAGAGAGGCCCTGTGGAGTCCAGGGCCGGGTCGGGCCAACTTGAAATGATGTCATACTACAAAGAGTGGGGACCATAAGAACACCGCAGAGAGGAAAGAATGCAGTCCTGGGGCCCCCGACTCCAGCTCTGCCTGCCAGCCCTCTCTCTCCCCACCACGTTTCCTTGTCTCCTCCCCCTCAAGGAATTCCCACATCCTATGTTAGAGGGCAGATGTGCCCCACCAGGGTAAGAGGCAGCAGCCTGCCCTTTGCTCCCAGTCTGTGTGGGGGGGTCCTCTATGGTGTATGCAGGGGTCAGAGGTGGCTGAGTATGGCAGACTTGCCCTTCTCATCAGCCCAGAGCGTGATCACAGCACCCGTGTGGCCAGACCTCATGGACAGAGCTCTAGGCAGGTGCAGTTTGCCCTCTGCACAAATCCGCCTAGCAACGTGGCATTGGCCAGTGTCAGGATGGTGCCCGTCGGGTGCTCCTTCCCAGTGGCAAGGTCTGAGACTTCCCCAGGGACCAGCACCCGGTCCCATATGGCCAGGCCTGCCATGCTCCCCACAAAGGCCTCAGAGCTGTCAAACCCGCCCCCGACGCTGTCTTGCTCCTGGCCCAGCACGAGGGACCCTCCCGGAGGGATCTCGTAGCCCTCTCTGAAGCGGGAGCCAGTGGCCACTAGCCTGCGGTCCACGTGGAGCCAGTACTTGCCCAGAATGGACGTCCAGATGACACATACGTGGTGCCACTGGCCATCCAGCAGTGGCTGCAGGGGCAGCTCCCTGAAGGCCGGGTCTCCGATCACGAAGTGAATGGAGCCGGGGACCAGGGAGTCCCGGCCATGCAGCACCAGCTTGTTGTCATTTTCTTCGGTGGCGTACGAGAGGAGGGTGCCCAGGTGGCTGGAGGCTGTGCGGACCCAGCTGCAGACAGACAGGGCCCGCAGGCCTGAGAGGAAGCCGGGGCTGAGGAGGACCACGTTCTCTGTGGAGGCGTTTGGGAAGATGAGCACAGGGCCCACGTTGCAAACTAGAAACAGAGGGGGAGAGTCAGCCCCTGCACCACCAGGCCATCCGGAAGCATCCAGAAACATCCAGGCACTGCCCTTTGCTCCAGGAGGGTGGCTCTAAGACTCCCCAGCTCACCTCCATCGAGCACTAAGTGTGACGGCTCACCTCCTAGCGTCTCATTCCTCCTTGCCACACGATCAGCCCCATCTCACAGGCGGGAAGACCGAGAGCCAGGGCCACCGGCGCCTCACTAGGGAGTGAGCTCACCGCCAGGGGAGCCTCTGTGTCTGTTTCCTGTGGCTGTTGTAACAAATTCCCACGAACTTAATGGCTCAAAACAACACACATTTAGTATCTCATGGTTCTGGAGGTCAGAAGCCCAGATGGGTCTCCCTGGACTAAAATCACGTGTCCGCAGGGCTGGTTCCTTCTGGAGGCTCCAGGGAGAAGTCTTCTCTTGCTTCTAGAAGTGCCCGCACTCCGTGGCTCATAGCCCTTCCTCTGGCTTCCCCATGCATCCCTCAAACCTCTGCTCCCATCATCGCATCTCCCTCTCTGAGCCCGACCCTCCTGCCTCCCTCTTAGAAGGACCCCTCTGATGACAGTGGGTCCACAGGATAATCCAGCATCGTCACCCATCTCAAAATCCCTAATCACATCTGCAAAGTCCCCTTGCTGTGTGAGGGGACATGCCCATAGGGTGCTGAAAGCAGGATGTGGACATCTTTGGGGCCATCGTCCTGCTGACCAGACTTCCTGCCAGGTCTGCCCAACAGCAGGGTCTGCGGGGCCAGGGTGGGCTTGTGGCTGCTGCGCCCGGCCTGAGGTTCTGATGAGCAGGTGGGGCAGCGCCTGGGAATCTGCATTTCTAGCCAACGAGCTGATTGGGTTCAAGGATGGAGGGCGTTCTGTGGCCAGACCCCAATTCCCCTCTCCACCTCGGGGGACCCTGTCATCATCTAGGGCAGTGGTCCTCAACTGGAGGGGACCGTATCCCCCAGGGACATCTAGCAATGTCTGCAGACAGTTTTGGTTGTCAGAACTTTGGGGGCCCAAAACTACAGCCCCTCCCTTTCCTGGGAGCCCTGGTGGTTCCCTCAGCATCAGTCAGTCGGTCCCATCTTACCAGTGAGCCCACTAGATCCACCTGGATGGAGTTAAATCCTGCTTCACATTAACAGGGCCCCAGGGCTGCTAAGCCAGACAGAGGGAGCAACTTAGTGAAAAATAAAAGCTAAAGATGAACTGGCATTTAGTGGATGGAGGCTGGGGATGCCGCTAAACACCCTCCAGTGCCTGGGGCAGCCCCTACAATAATGATCACCCCGCCCTAGTGTCAGCAGTGTTGCGGTCGAGAAACCCGACCTGGGAGATCAGAAATAGCAAGGCAGAGGCTGCTTTGCAAAGGCCTGGGGGCCCCCACTGGTGGGCACGAGCCCCGCGGCGGTGCTGGCTGAGGCCGGGGCCCTGCAAGGAGAGCTCATGCTGGCTGTGGTTGAGGATGTCGGTTGGACCTTGCCGGCCCTAATGAGGGTAATTCTCAAGTCTGAGCGGGCATTTACTGCCCACATGTGCGCGCATTTGCTTCTACTGCCCAGGCCGTTGGGTGGCCTGACCTGCTGGTGACCTGGATGGTCCCCATCTTCTGAGGCAGGGTATACGGGACGTGAAGCCAGCCTCCCCTCCACACAGCCCTGGGGAGAAGGCTTTTTAGAGGGGACTGGAGGCCCAAGGAGGCACGAGAGGGAAGAGTGGAGATGGGTGAGGAAGGGCAGGCCCATGGTACTTACTCTCTCCCGGTCTCTCAGGGGGCCATGCCCGCCGGCTGCCTGGGCCTGGCGGCTCTCGCATCCCTGGGAGATGGCCAGAGAAGTCCTGAGGTGGATCCCTGGGCTCAGGTGAAGCTCGGAGCGCCTGCCTACCCCACTGTGGCTTTGGGGAGCTTGGGCTTGGTGGCCCAGGCTGAGCCGGCAGCCGGGCTGGGGTCGGCCCTGGAGCAGTGGTGCCAAGATCAGTCACCTGCAGCTGCCCCTCGAGAGCGGCCAGCCTGGCGCCCTGGCTCTGGACGAGGGGCGTCAGGCGAGCCAGCATGTCCCGCAGGGCTTGCACGTCCAGGGCCAGGCTCGAGAGGGCAGCCCTCTGTGCCTCCTGCTCCTTCCTCTCCCGGCTGCGCTGCTTGCTACCCTCGCTCAGGGCTGCGCCCAAGGCCAGCAGCCTGGAGTCCACCTTCCGGCTTCTGCGCTGCGTCTTCCGCATCCAGGTCTTGAGGTGGCCCAGGTCGCCCTGCACGGTGGCCTGTGACTGGTTGACAGCCAGAGCCACGGCCTGGCTCTCCTGGGCCAGGCTCTGGAACCGGGCATCGATGTTGTACGACAGGTTGTAGTTGCTGGCGATACGCTGCAGGTGTGTTAAGGTCACCTCTTGGAACCTCCGAAACTGCAGAGAGGACCCACAGCTGTCAAGGGGGCCGCAGGCTGGGGAGGGGCCAAGTGCCAGCCTTCCCCGCTCACACTGCTGCGGTACCCACCGCGCACCCGGCAGAGATGCGCGCTGATTTGATCCTCGTGACAACATGGACTCCTGTGAGCAGCCCCATTACAGCCGAGCCGGAGAGGCAGGTGAGTAACGGAAGGCCACTCAGCTGCAGCATGTGAGGTGAGGGATCCCGGCCCACAGCCCAGCTCCCATCCCTCCCTATCGCCCCATGCTCTTCACCCCTGTGACCCTCAAGGTCCTACCTGTGAGTGGACATGTGGCAGGATGGGCTTCGTGAGTGGTTTGTGGGGGTCAAAGTGGGGAGTGCTTGGTGCTGGCCTGACACATGTGGGTCACTCAGAACCGGCTACAGACCCACACAGGAATCTCTGCTCCACAATGGACCTGAGACCTCAGGCCCCCAAGCCCAGCACCACCGCCTCACCCTCCCCACAACCCCGGCACCCCAGTAGCTGCCCCCGTGGGCTCTTCCCAGTCCCCATTCCCCCCTCTGACTCCCTCCGGATCCTCACATGTCAGTTGGCTTGTCTTCAGAGCAGAGCCCAGCAAGCCTTTTTGGCTGGTCTCCAATTATAGGTGACAACAACACCAGCTAATAGAAGGAACTACAAACTCCAGGTTTGTAGCCGACGCTTACTACTCCATTTCCGTAACATCTGTCCTTTGTCTGTTGTCAATTTGAAACAATCAATTGCTCCAAGTGGTGGGTGCACTGACCTGCTCCTCCAGTCGACGGAGCTTCTCAAAAAACAGTTTTCTGTGTCTTGCAGGGCCGGCTTCCTGCAACAGAGCCCCATGCAGATATACGGGCACCAAAATAAAGAAGAAAGACAGCATCTCCCTCCCCAGGCGGCCCATTCTGAGACGGCCAGCAGCAGGAGTCCCCTGACCACAGGAGAAGACCGTCTGCTCAGTGCTCCTGCCTCGCCCCTCACTCCTCCCGGCTTCCAGGGGAGCCGTTTTCCTTCTTGACTCTGGCTGGGAGTCAGGTACTTTCTGCCACCTTAATGAAGGCATTTGCCTGCAAGCCAACAGGGTCTGGAGAGTTGGAGCTTTCCAAGGACACAAGTTTAAAACAGATGCAGTTTCTTTGGAAGATAATTCTACTGGGTGCAGGCCCTGGTCCAGCTGGCTCAGAGGCGGATGGAGGTGATTGCTTTAGCAGGAGCACACAGACTCATATTCCCACCAGAAAGAAGCCGAAGCAGGGCAGGGAAGCAGCTGGCGCCAGGGAGCCCCTGGAGCCCAGTCTGCAGCGGGGCCCAGCGTCCCGGCCATGTGCAACGGAGCCTGTGAGGCCCGTCTCTCTCCCTTGGATAAGGCACAGGAAATGGAAGTGGGAGTCAAGTTAATCTATTTTTGGGTACAGGTTGTGTAGTGGGCTGAATGGTGGCCCCCCCAAAAGGTGGGTCCAAGTCCTCACTCTGGTACCTGGAGAATGGGACCTTTGTTGGATAAAGGGTCTGTGCAGATGTAATTAGGGATACGGAGATGCGATCATCCTGGATTATCTGGGTGGGCCCTAAATCCAATGACTGGTGTCCTTCTAAGAGACAGAAGAGGGGCCAGCCCAGTGGCGCAGCAGTTAAGTGCGCACCTTCCACTTCAGCGGCCCAGAGTTCACTGGTTCGGATCCCGGGTGCAGACATGGCACCGCGTGGCACACCATGCTGTGGCAGGCATCCCACATATAAAGTAGAGGAAGATGGGCCTGGATGTTAGCTTAGGGCCCGTCTTCCTCAGCAAAAAGAGGAGGATTGGCAGAAGATGTTAGCTCAGGACTAATCTTCCTCAAAAAAAAAAAAAAAAAAGCGAGACAGAAGAGGAGAAGGCACACACAGGGAGAAGGCCATGTGAAGAGAGAGGCAGAGATGGAGGTGATGGTGCCACAAGGAACACCAGAAGCTGGATGAGGCAGGAAGGCTCCTTCCCTGGAGCCTTCAGATGGAATGTGGCCTGGTGACACCTTGATCTCTGACTTTTGGCCTCCAGAACTGCGAGAGCACGAACTTCTGTTGTTTTAAGCTCCCCCATTTGTGGTCATTGTTTACAACAGGTTGTTGACATACTCCCTGACGCTCAGGGTCTCCCTATAGGGAGAGGCGGGGACCTCGTCCTAGTCCAGCTATATGAACAGCTGTGACTTAGTGAGGGGAGCAGGATAAAACCACGATCAAGGCCAAAACTCGCAGTTAAATATGGTGGCTGTGCACAGAGGCAGGCTCCGGTCTCTCCTCAGGTGCCACTTTGATGCTTGAAGGAACAAATGCTGAAGGAGCCACAGGGCCTGGGAGAACGGGCTGGAGACAGCAGCAGGTGAAGAGTCCAACACGTCTTTGGAGAATGAGAGGTCAGGGCACCTGGTAACTGAGCTGGCAGAGCAGAGAGAGACCCGAGGGGCAGGGAGTGTGTCAGTGTCCTGGGGCTGCTGTAACCAGTGACCATGGGCTTAAAACAGCGCTCCATCTGAAGGCTCCAGGGAGGAGCCTTCCTGCCTCGTCCAGCTTCCGGTGTTCCTCGTGGCAGCATCACCCTCATCTCTGCCTCCGTCCTCACACGGCCTTCTCCCTGTGTTGGTCCTCTCTGTCCCTTGCAAGGATACCAGTCATGGGATTTAGGGCCCACCCGGATAATCCAGGACGACCTTGAGATGTAACTTAATTACATCCGCAAAGACCCTTCTTCCAACGAGCTCCCGTTCCTAGGTACGGGCTCAGGACTTGGACCTATCCTTTTGGGGGCCACCATTCGCCCACTACAGGGCAGTTTGAGAGCGATGTTGGGAGGCTAGGGCGAGGCACAGGCTGGCGTGAAGGGAATCATGGTAAGTCTGGATCCAGAGCTGCTGGACCCTCGGCTCCTCCCTGACCTCCCGCAGGTGGGCGACTGCTCCCGTGCACCAGCCCGGCTGCAGCACCTGCTCAGCTAGTCTCTGGAGCTGCAGCTGTTGTGCCCTTGACATGTGGCCCGTCTGAACGGAGGTCCACTGTAGGTGTAAACTACACACTGGATTCAAGACTTAGTACAAAAAAGAAATGGAAAAGATCTCATTAATCGTCATATTTTATATATGACTACATGCTAAAATGGTAACATTTTGGATAGATTGAGTTAAATAAATTATTAAAGTTAACTTCACCTGTTCCTTTTTACTTTTTCAGTATGACCACTAGAAAATTAAATTAAAAAAATTAAATATGGGGCTCACATCATATTTTGCTTGGATAGTTTTGCCCCAGAGAAAGACTCTGGGGGCACAGTCCCCAGGCACGGAGATAGCTCATTTTCCTTTAAATCTCTCTCTCTCTTTTTTTTTTTTTTGAGGAAGATTAGCCCTGAGCTAACATCTGCTGCCAATCCTCCTCATTTTTACTGAGGAAGACTGGCCCTGAGCTCACATCCATGCCCATCTTTGTCTACTTTACATGTGGGACGCCGGCCATAGCATGGCTTGCCAAGTGGTGCCATGTCCGCACCCGGGATCCAAACCAGTGAACCCTGGGCCGCTGAAGCAGAATGTGTGCACTTAACTGCTGTGCCACTGGGCCGGCCCCTAAATCTCTTTCACCATCAGTTCTTTTCCTTTTTTTTTTTTTAAAGAATTTTAGTGAAAGTTATACAAATAAAATTCACTCATTTTAAGCATAACACTAATAATAAGGTATTGAAATAAATGTCTACATATTGAATTGTGGGACTCTGAAGGTTCCACCAGCTTCCAGAAAGCCCCCTGTGCGCGTAGAGAGCCCCTGTCAGTTACTGTCTCACGCTTAATACGCGAGCTCAGCCAGGGATCACTAGACACTCAGAGGCTTCTGACAGGACGGGTAGAATTCTGCCGAAACAGAGATGGAACCCCGAAGACCATGTAGGGGGCCAAGGAAAAGCTGCAAAGCGTCTAATTTACGCCCTCAGAAAGACAAGAAGGCAAGAAATGGAGACCACGAAAACAGGATTAATCAGAGCGGGAGAAGTAGCTCTTGGAAAACGAACACTATGATTTTCCAAATAAAAAAACAAAACAGAAAAGCTGAAAGGCGAAGTTGAAGTAATTGCCCAGAAAGTAGGGCAAAAAGACAAGACTTGGAAAAGAGAGAAAACATAACAGTTGAAATCAATCCCACGAAAAGAAACGGTAGCAAGTGAGACTAAAGAAAACAGGGTGGAAGAAATTATCAGGAAGATATTCCAGGAAGGCGTCACAGACAAGGGCCTCCACCATTTTCAGGACCATGTGCCAGAGATCACCCAGTCAAGGAACTGATGGCTGACCCCAAGGCTCATCTCATCAAGTGCCAGAACAACACCAACGAGGAAAAGATCCTAAAATCGTCCAGAGAGATAGAGGCTGCCCCCGTGGCCAAGTGGTTAAGTTTGTGCACTCTGCTTGGGCAGCCCAGCTTTGCCAGTTTGGATCCTGCATGCAGACCTACACACCGCTCATCAGCCATGCTGTGGTGGCACCCCACAAGGAAGAACTAGAAAGACTTACAACTAGGATATAGAACTATGTACTGGGGCTTTGGGGAAAAAACAACAAAAAAAGAGGAAGATTGGCAACACATGTTAGCTCAGGGCCAATCTTCCTCTAAAAGAAAGAAAGAAACAAACAAAGAAAGAAAGAAACAAAGAAAAGAAAAGAAAAAGGAAGAACACAGGAAAAAAGTGTCCAGAGAGAAAAAACCTGGTCACATGGGTAGGACTGAGCCTTCCCCAGAGAACTGGTGGCCACCTCAGCAGCAATGCTGGCTGCCAAAGACAGAGGAGAAAATCTTAACATTTTTGAGCGAGAATGATCTTCATTAAAATTGTGCATCTTAGCTCAAATGGGAATCAAACTGGAGCAAAGAATAAAGGCATTTTTCAGATATGCAAAGGCCTAAGAAATTTATTTTCCATGCACCATTTCTTGAGAAGTTACTTGATGACAAGCTTCGGGAAAATATGGGACTAAGGGAGAAAGGCAGCAGCTGTAGGAACTGGAGAGTGAGGGCTCCAATCCAGAAGCCCACTGGGAGGAATTCCCAGAGTCCCAGGAAGGCATCATCTCGGACTCCGCGCTCCCTGTCACACCCCCGTGCAATCTCTCAGCCCTACTCCACAGAAACCTCCCAGGTCAGCCCTTCTCACCACCTGGCCCACACCTGTCCTTACACCAGCGTCCCGGGGGCTCCCTGCATCCGCGGTTGCCCCCTACCGTCCATCCTCCTAACTGCACCCAGGGTGGACTTTTAAAACGAGACTGCCATCGGTCACTCATTTTTCACTCTGCCTAATATTTCCATTTGCCGTCTGACATATTGTGCATATACTTTATTTGCCTCCCTGATGTGTGAGCAGAGGCTTTATCTGCTTCATTCTCTGCCCTGGAAGAGCGCTTGCAGCACGCAGCAGGCAGTTATTTAATGTATGTTGAATGAATAAATGTTTCCCCACAATGACCGCCCAGGTTGAAAGGAACCTCCTTGTGAGGTCTTCCCAGATCACTCCCCAACGCTGCCAACAGGACGTTCTGCCAAGCAGGAAGGTTCCATATCTGCGCTGTGCATTATGGCAGCCACGAGCCGCAGGAAGCTATCGAGCTCTTGAAAAGAGGCGAGCGCGACCAAGGAGCGAATCGTTCCTTTCATTTGATTTCAGCTGATTTACGGAGCCACCTGTGGCGGGTGGTCACCGTATTGAACGGTGCAGCTCCTATTCCAGGACGCTGTTTCACTGACACCGCCGCATTCATCAATGCCCGACATCACCAGAGTTGTTACTGCTTCCTTGTGGGTGGTGCGTTTCCCTGCAAAGGTCTTGGCTTGGGGAGAGCCGCGCCCCGCCCGGGGATGAGGAGCAAGGCGGGACACGCGCTCGGCGCTCAGCAGGTATGGCAGGGGTGCGCACTCGGGGCGCTCGGGAAACGATGGATCTCGGGAGCCGAGGGAGAGCTGAAGCGATCCCTCCGAGGAAGATGGACGCGGAGGCAGACGGAACGCGGGCGAGGGCCCGCGCGCAGGTACCGGCTCCCGGCCACGTTGGGGGACGCGCCCCCGCCCCCGGGTAACCACGCTCCCTCCGGGCTCCGCCCCCATGCGCAGGCGCAGGCGCAGATGCGGCCCCGCCCCGAGCCTCTTCCGGTTCCCGGGCTTCACGGCAGATTTGTCACATCGGCGGGCCGGGACCGGCCCCACAGGCTCTAAAAAATTCAGCGGCATCTCTTCCCGGGCCCAGGGAGCTTGTGCTACGCGGCTGCGCGCTGGGCCGCGAACAGAGCACGGAGCTGGCCTCGGCGGCCGTGGCGAATCGGCGGGGCCAGAGCGCGCCGCGGCGACTCCGGGGACCGAGTAGGCGCGCGCCTTCCCGAGACCTCTGCCCGCCGCCGAGACCCCTGTCGGCCCCGAGGGCCCTGTCGGCTCCCGCCCGCCCCGAAAGCCTCTTCCCCCCTCACCACGAGGTGGGCTCCGGGCGCACGCTGGGGCGGGACGGGGACAGGCTGCACGCCGCGCGCGGAGCGCACGTTGACAGGCTGGGCGCGGAGGCCCCAGGCTCGTGGGGACTCGTCTTGGGCCCTGAGGCAGCCGTA